AGGGCTACCACCATATGAAGGATACACTCAGAGCTCCTAAGGATGTTACAGTGGAGGTTATCCCTAGAAGTTCTATTAGTGGCCATTGATATAGAAGCTCTGTACTCAAGTTTTCCTCATGAGAAAGTCCGTAATGAGAACTTTCCTAGATGAGCAGGAAAAGTCCACCTTGCCACCTAACCAGTTCATTTTAAGACTGATTAAGCACATTTTGACCAGAAATCTTTATATTCACTTTGTATGCTAACCCGTAGATGGGGGGGGGGGGTGCAGTGTGTTCTCTGACGAGGCCTTGTCTATGTACCCATCACATACTAGCTTGGCACAGGTACACAGATGATGTCCTCATGATCTAGACAAGTACCCCAACTGAAAAATGGATTCAAGAAATCTCTGGGGAAGAGTCCATACAACAAACAAAATTGAGATACTTGTGAGATATACGTTAGCTGTTACTCTTTACAGAAAACCTATGTCCAGCAATACAATTTTGCCCACAGGCAGTGCTCACCCAAACTGTTCCGGAGAGGAGGACTTCTATCAGGAATGAGACTATTAATGCAGCAACTTAAGGCTAGAGGGTACAGTGTAAATGTGCTGAAGCTTGCATGAAGAGCATGTGGAAATACAAGAACTAATCTGCTATTTAAGAAGTGACAAGTAGATAACAATGACACTGTAAAATTAATAACTGGATTTCCCAAAAAAACATGAAATTCAGAACTTTAAACAGAGATACTGGTACGTGTTAGCCAATAATACAAATATTGGAAAGATGGTAAAGGCTACCCTGAAATAGTTTATAGAATATATACAGTACCTTAATGAAGGATAAATAACAGTCATGATATGGGGCAATAAGAGATTAAACCTGTACAAGAGGCAGCTTCAGATGTGGACATGAATTCTTCATGAAGGTAGTGGGATGACCCCTGAGGTGTGTGGGTGGAATGCTAGTCCCACAACTATCAGCAGAATGAGTGTGATTTCAGTGCATGCATGGTAGTGATCTGTCCTACGCATGCGCACAACAAAGTGTCTGTGTCATCACGTCACATACTACAATGGCAGCGTCCGTGGCTGCCATGATGGGGGAATATACGGAGGGAGGCCGGAGGTGGCAGCTATGACTGCAGACTCTTATTTTTGCCACAGAGGTATACCAAATTAAAATCTTTTTCTGGAGAGTACATAGAAAGGTAAACAAGATATTGCTATTTTTGGCATTTCTTTTCTGGGGCAGTATGTGCGCACACACACACAAAAATACCTGTGCTTATGTTACATATGGTGATTATGGATTCATTACTGTGCAGGCATTTACAGTATTTCAGGCCAGCACTTGGGGTCTTTCAGGGACAAGTTGGAGAATATACCCCCTGCCTCTCTCTGTTCCAGTATAGGACAAACAAAATACAGGTAAGCTAGAATAGTGAAGGGGAGACCGCTTAAGGCTAGTAGGAAAAGGGTATAGATTTATAGCAACGTTAAATGTAATGACAAAAGGGGAGGTATTGCTATCCTGCTATGGCCATTCTATCTAGATATGTACATGATGTTACAGTGGGTGTGTCCTAGCTTTGTCAATGTTCTATCACCTGAAGATACTCAATCCAACAGCTGGCAGCAAGAACTGATCGAAAATAGGACTTTCATTCAGCTTTGTAATGCAACAGCACAGAGGTACTTTGGGGCTCCCAGCAGACTGAACACTTGAGATAGCTCAGTCCAATCAGAGAAAGGCGAGCTCTGAGGCAATGCTAATGGCTCTGGACCTGGAAAGTGCTCCACGGCTAACTTGTTACCAGACGGGGCCTGGAAAATGCCTTGCGTAGAAACAGTTTCCAAGGTTCACTTACAGGCTAGCCTCAATGTCTAGTCAGGTTGTAGAACTTCAAACACCAAGCTGGGAACAGGCCACACTATGATGCTTGCTAGTGTTAGTCTCTACAGTAGAATCTCTTGAGGGGGCAGTCTTGATTTTTTTAAAAAAAAAAAAAAAAAAAAAAAAAAAAGCAAAAATAGGTTAGTTTTTTTCTATTTAAGTTACGTTCACCTTTCAAATTTTTTTTTTTTTTAAAAGGATACTTTCATCTTTGAAAAAAAAAATAAATGCACTTTTCTTTATCTGCAAAAAATGCATTTTTTCTTTTTTTTTTTAAATTAGGTGCCCATAAAGCATTGCTGATTACGGGTGCAATCTCAGGCTCCTGCAGACTGTCTGCCCATATCCCGTATGTTGCAGGCAGTTACTGAATGACAGGAAGGATCAATGAACTACCAAGAGCAAGCCTTCAGCCACAATGGCTGACGGTAGTTGTAATTCTCCCATTCACAAAACTCTGTGAACGAATGAATGATACAGACAAGTGGGCAGAACCCTGCACAGCTGCCTTTTTAAAAAAAAAAATAAAAAAATAAAAATTATGACAGTGTGTACAGGGAGAAGATCCCCAGCCTGCTGACAGAATTAGAAGGGGGATCCAGGAGAGGCTGCAGAAGCGGGAACAAGTTACATGTTCCACCCTAATAACGGATGGAACATGTAGCATGTTCTCAAAAGGTGAACTTATCCTTTAACAGTAGAGCTGGAAAAAAAAAAAAAAAAAAAAAAACCTCCTTCAAAGACACTAGCAAATATCTTCAGACATGTTAGAATTAGTAGGGGTTATTCCAGGTTGTTCTACATTTTTTTTTTTTTCGTTTGCCAATGTCCAATTCACCTGTACGCAGCAGTATAAGCCAAAGTTAATGACTTCCTATGTCCCTTAATAGAAAAGAAAGAAATCATGAATTTAAATATACAATAGGCTGAGAATCACAAAAAAGTGAAGTGAAAAAGTGAATATGAACAAATACAACACTTTATTAAAGCGCTGGCAAAAGGTTTCTTGAGCTGGTGAAGATCGTGCAACATTATTGTTGGACAACTAAACAGGTATATTTTATTTCAACTCTCCAACATGCACAAATACCCCAAAAAAAGCTGTAATAAAAATGTATGTATGTATATATATATACACATACATATACATACACACATATATACATACATGCACACACAACAAAAAGACAGGCATACATATGTTCTGTGTTATCGGTGGTATATTTACAGTACGGAGGGGACAAAGAAAAAATAGACTAAAACTAAGAGAAACAGAAAAACATCAGATTTATTCACCAGTCAGCAGAAAGGTTTTTCCTCCACAGGTAGTTTTTATAAACACAATTTACACAGTCTGCTGTATTTCTTGTTTTCTTCGAGTGTCCTGTGGCATATGAAGCCAGCTGTGCTTAAAGACACACTTCAGGTGATTTGTCTTTTTGCCACTATCCATATGGGAGACAACTGTATCCTACTTTGTATGCTACAGAAAACAAAAATGGACATTGGAGCCCAATTTTACCTAAAGAAGGCTAAAGCTCTGCAACAATGATTATAACTTACTTTTAAATGCAAACTAAAAAAAAAATAAAACAAAAAACAAAAACCAACTGTAAACGAAGGTTTTATTATTATTTTTTTACACCAATCTGAAAAGGTTTTCCACTTTATTGCCTCTGTGCATTGGGTCAGCTGCCAATGAAGCGTTTATCTTCTACCCACCAGAGGAAAGAATATATAGTTTGCATTAAAGTCTCCCACTTTGCAAATCTTAAGGTTTGCAATCTGTCTTTACTAAAAATGAAACTCTTCCTATTTATAACTGAACTGCTTGCTACATAAAGTCTTCTGTCTCGCTGCTGCTCTTCCAGTGTAAGGCCGTTGTGATGCCTTATCAGCAAGTAGTGCTCACTCTGAGTGTGTGTCTGTTGAGAAGAAGCTTCCAGCCTGGACACATCAGACAGAAGCAGAGGCTGCTGTTTCTACAACTCCTGGCTCCCAGCACTGTCCCGAACTCTCCTCTGAACATGCTGCGATGTGCTGCTGATCTCACACAATATCTGTAGGACTCCACTAGCCATGTTGTCAGGTATAGGGCCCAATGGAATGGCGATAGTTACCAAATCAACGTCTCCTGTTTAATAAAAGAGAATAAAAATAAAATTAATTTTTCCATGTTAAAATCCCACCTGAAAGTTAACCAAGGAAAACTGTAGCAGACATACTCTGCATGGAGGGCTCTGAATCTGGATCAAACACAACAACACACTGTTGATACAGTACTCTGCACACTTAGAAATGAAGGAAGAGTGTTTAACGCATACAGTCTTTATATTTTCTCTTAACTGACTGTATTGCTGGAGCATCCATGTTTAAAAATTCCACAATATACACAAAGCAGAATTTACTTAAAGTGTATCATGCGATCACTACTGCCTCTTAAAAGGATACCCCCCAGTCTGAGACTAGGTTTTATCAGCTGGGCTGTAGACCAGGAGGGAGGCTGCCACCACTGGAGGTGGGGAAGCAGTTCAATTTCAGTTATTTAGAGGACTAGAGATTGGAGCTGAAACCCTAAACTTTCCTTAAAAGTGACCTTGTCACTTGAATGATCCCTTTAAAAGAAAAGAAAATATACTTGCCTTGCTGGTTCTCTCAATGGCTGCAATGTCATTATAGGATGCATAAATAGGCAGGAAGAACCAAAGCATTTGCTGAGAAAAGCAGGTATTTCACCCACACAGAAAGGTTGACTATCTGCAGCAGCCAGTGGAAAGCAAAGCAAGAGTTTAACATGAAGGCTGCCAGAAAGGGAAGTACATTGCATCTTGCTTTACAGGTGTAAGATGACCTTGTATTGACAACATGGTCACATTCTCCTTCACTGGTGTCTTCCCTTCCACTCATACATCTACAATATCTGAGCAACAGATCAGGCCTGTTCAGATACAGTGTACTAATAGAAGCAGAAAGAACATCAGCTGGTAAGATACAGACTGAGCCAGAACTAGCTGACATGTATTTTAGAATTAAGCAGGCAAAAGAAAAAAATCCAAGCGGATTTCATGACAAGAAAAGCACAGCAACTGACAAATGTGCGTTCATTCATATAATGTCCACTCACCTGCCGCCAGTCTTGAAGATGAGATCTGCATTTGGTGCCCCTTTTGGATGCTGGTACCGGGGCCGACGCTCCCTGTTAGTATTAGCTGGAGCTGGACGCTGAGCCAGAGACTGCAACATTTCTGCAGGAAAACCGAAAGGTTACACTTCTATAGATCTGTTCACTTCTTTTACAAGATGAAGAAACTTTTGTACTGTGGTAATGGCAACTATACATATTTATGCCCATGCGACATATCCACAGTTATTAAAATAAATCCACAAATGTTCAAAAAAAAAAAAAAAAAAGCATAAAAAAAAAAGCAAAAAAACAAAACAAAAAACCCCCAAAACTATGAATTTTACCCATTGTTATAGGAAAATATAAATTACTTAAAAAATATGTAAACCCAACATTTCATATTCCTGATATGTTCCTACTGTACCATGTACTTATATGAAAAAGTATCCTGTTCTCTTTGTATTGCATGCTTTGTGTAAAATCCTTGATATTCCTGGCAGTCCCTCTGCTTCCTAGTAAAAACTGACCACACTAGGCAATTGAGCAAAACTATGGTCAGTTCTATAGCTGTGCTGGAAAACGCAGCATGCACTCCTACAATGAACAAATGCGCTGACCCGTGCACCCTCCCCCAGCAGAAACACCGCTGCTAAGCAGAAAACCTATTCCACACTCCCCTCGACACCCGCTAATCCAGGCATACTATGGCCCACCCCTCCTCCTCGCTGCTAATCACCAAATGTGGCGCTGAAGGCGAGCAGGGTCCATGACACACACCACACACACACTTCAAAAAAACAAGCCATCCCAGCTCCCATAACTTTTTTTAAAGCCGTTAGCTAAAAAAACTGGCTCCTAACTAGCTGGCTCCTAGATTCTAAGCAAAATTTGACAAGCCCTGCTATAAACAAACGTTTGACCTTTTACTTCTATTTTAAACGGTATGGGTTGTTTTACAAGGTTTACATATACTTTACGTTTAATGAAGTTTATCTAATATCAGGGTTGGCAACCCGTGGACCGCGATCTACCAGTCGATCATGACCAGATGACTGCTAGATCGCTTGGGCTTGCTCACCTGCTTCCAAATGCCATGGATCAAAAAGCAGGGGAAGCATAGTAACTACTTTCAGGCATATAGCGTCAGCCACGGAAAGAACAGAGCAAGGGCGGCAGCAGTCAGCCCCATAAGTCGATGCCCCTTCTAAACCTTCAGCAGCAATGTCAGCCGGAGTGATACCAACAGCACTCTGCCTCTTAATCCTGGTAACCGAGGCATCTACAGCATGAAGTAGCACTGCATGCAAGAGTAGTGTCACTGGGCTTAAGGATACTGGACACAATAGCATCTTTATGCTATCATGCTCATATAGCTGCTATTGTGCCCATATACTGTATCTGCTATTGTGTCCACATAGCTGCTGATGTGTCCATATAGTTGCTGCTGTGCATCTACTGTATATGGGCACAACAGCAGCTACATGGACACAATAGCATCTTTATGCTTGTGTGCCCATATAGATGAAAAACAGCAATTACACTGCTCAAAAAAATTAAAGGAACACTTTTTAATCAGTGTATAGCATCAAGTCAATTAAACTCCTGGGATATTGATCTGGTCAGTTAAGTAGCAGAGGGGGTTGTTAATGTCATTAAAACTAAAGCAGCTGAAACCAATTAACAACAGGTGCACTAGATGGGTGGACTAGACAGGTGGAGGCCACTGAAACCTTTTTCCCTACTCATCTTTTCCCATTCAACTGAAGCTTCCTGTACATATTGTCACTGCTCCATAGGTTCCTTTCTACATATGGTATGAACATGCCCCTCCATTAGAACTTTCTGGATGGCAGTGTTAGCTGACCTTAATAGACTGTGTGATTCGACCCTCAGCTTAGACCCCAAAATACTCTTGGATGGGATGGAGTTGGGTTGTTATGTTAAGCGGTCTACATTTTTTTTAATACTTTTTTTCTGCCTGCAGAGAGATCCTTTTAAAGTCGAACTCAGCCCCCTATTTTGGGTTTTTGGTGTGCTACTATTGATAACACTTTACTGATGTATAAATTAACCTGCACAAGTAGGATCTGCACCAAGAAGTTAGTTAAAATATGGTCTGTCTGGATAAACTCCTGGGGTTCAAGTTAACCCTTTAACTGAACTTGGGAAACTACACTGCCTAACGGCACTTAACTTACTGACTTGTGAATATCCTGAGATCACCTTACAATCTCCTACGCTGACTGCCGCTTCCATATTTGGCTTATAAGGCTCATATTTCCTCATCTGTTTAGAATACTTGTTGAACATTTTTGGATATAGGCCTTGTAACGGAACCGGATCCCAACGGCACTTGGGTATTTCCGTTAGACTCCCGCTTCCCTGTCCAAACAGCGACCATGGACCCCACCGCTGACCAAACAAGACTAGAGACCACCAGACTTGTATTAAACCAGGAAATAGACTGCTTTATTTTAACACAGACACAAGATATAACCAGATATAAACATTCAAGGGAACAACCCACCTCCCTGCATATGGACACAGGGCGGGGCAAACCAAATCTAGGAACCAGAGACACATACCAATAGACACCCCCCACCAAGCCAATACACACAAACACATAAGTCCCATAATAGTTTGCTCCCAAGCAAGACACACAATAGAACAATGGGATGCACCACATAGCAGTAAGCAATGAACAACCCCCACACCCCACTTATACATGTCTACACATTATCAGGACATTCCACCCTGTACCCCAAACAGGCACAGGGTGGCTTACACATAGGAGGGATATGGGGAGCTGAGACAGGGGTCTCCCCACCCCTCCAAAGTGAGCTGTGTTCCATGGGCCCCCCACACAAAGTCACTCCCGTCAGAAGCCTCACCAAGATTATGCATGGTGGTTCGGATGGTCTGTACTTCTTTCCTTTGTTGCTTTATTGTATGAAAATGTGCTGCATTGCTTTCATCTGACTAATCTTTTTTTCAATAAACAATTTCTACTTGTAAAAAAAAAAAAAAAAAAAAAAAAAAAAAAAGCTACTGCTTCCATTAGACCAACAGGTTTCCTGTTTGTTCTTCCTTGGGACAGACACTGTACTTCAAAATCCACCATTGCATGATAGATAATTTATTTGATTATTTAACAGCAAAGGCTTTTGTAAAAACTTCCTTCTGCGCTGTTATGCACCCACTCTATTCAACCAAGTGGGTGGCCTTACACAGTTGGGCAACAGACTGTTGACAAATGTTTTACAAGGTATTTAGGGCAATTCACCCAATCCTCAATGTACTCCTGCCAGTATATTCTCTTAAATCTTGTTGTACTACTTTGGTTATTAAGTGGAGCTATTTAGCAACAAATAACCACATTAGAGGAATAAGGAACTATTGGCTGCACAATATACACAAGGTTTCATTGTTCAGAGCCACCATTCAGCTATTTACCTATATGTTAGGGAGGTTCCTTCAAAATAGTTGTGGTAATAAATAATCTGACACCATTGTATCAGGACACAGACAAGATTACAAATGATTTTAGAGTTTTCATTTCAACCCACTGTTTAGGTACAGTTATGTTTTGGATATATTAGATCAGGGGTAGGCAACGTTTGAGAGGTGGAGATCTTTCTGAACCGTGGTGTCCATATAGTTTCTGTAATGCATCTATATGGGCACAAAAGCATTTATGCTGTTGTGCCCATACAACTGCTATTGTGCCCATATAGATGCTGATGTGTCAATATACACTGCTAAAAAAAAAATAAAGGAACACTTCGAAAACCCATCAGATCTCAGTGGGGAAAAATATTGTGCTGGATGTCTATACTGATATGGACCGCGTAACGTGTTAGGAATGTAAGGATGCCCCATTGTTTGATGGAAATTAAAATTATCAACCTACGAAGGACTGAATTAGTTGCCTGTGTCCTGTACTGTACAATTAAAGAGAGAGCAGCACTGGATCGAGATCAAACTCTGGTAAGTATTTGGGGTGGGCTGGGAGGAGCTGACCATGGAAGGTTTTTTTACCTTAATGCATAGAATGCATTAAAGTGAAAAACCTTTAGCCTTTACAATCACTTTAAGATATACATGTTTTATTTTTAACAGGATTAGGCAGTGGTGGTCAATATTACACTTTTAGTCTGTTTTAAGGTTTACTTTTTTTTCCCCACATGAGAAAAGATGATTTGGATGCTTACTACAGAAGAAACCATATTATAATATGGCACAGAACTCTACTGAAATGGTCTAAGATGGAAACTTCTTTTTTATATACAAAAAAACAGGTATAAATGACTGCACAATTTCTTAGACCTAATGATCTTACTTTTCACAGAAATATCAGTCACACAACTTAATACTATGATCCTGCAACCATTTCATAGCCCATTTCCCCCTGTCATGTTTCTTAGTATCAATGTTTTGAAGTGACGTTTTCTGGCCAATAATTATCAAATGTACTGGCAGCTCCAGTATGTTTTAAACAGCTGGCATACAGCATAAGTTACAGTTATTGAATTCATTATCTTGAGGGGAGAAAAAAAAAAAATAGGGCTGAGACTGCATGTCAGTGTATTAATATAAGAGGAGTATAATAAGGAACCTAACAAGGAAAGGACATTAATACCCTGATAATCCTCCTGTTCTTGACGTTCATTAATGTCCAGTGTGAGCTTTTTCATCCGCATCCTTTCCTCTTGCTCTGCTTGCTGTTGGTTCCAATGGTTTGCAGCCAGTTGGGAGGACATTGGTACATTCAGAATTTTAAACTGGAAAACAAAATTAGTAAAATTATATAATCATCATTAGTATACATACAAAACACGTAGTGAAGGAACAGCTCACACGGAGGGAAGGCACTCAAAGGTCTTGAAATGTAGGCATCACAGGCTTTAATATACTAATGTTAAAACGTCTTTATCAAGACACAGATATATTGTGAAAACTAATATATAAACTCACAACCACCCCCAGAAGACAAAGACTAAGCAGCTTGACCATTTAACAGAAGCTGGTCTAACGACCAGCTTCTGTTGAACCTTCTGACTTTCAGTATGCGTGTACCCAGCTTAAGTCTTTATCTCACCTCCTCCCTTTTTTTGACCCATTGTGCAAAGTTTACATCTTGCATCTCCCTGTACTGCTGAAACCCTGGTTGTAATTTGGTCCAAAAGAACTAAACTATAGCCTTTTATCTGGAAAGTGTACCTGGACATAGAAACATCAATCTAAGTTCAGTAACTTAAAGGGACACTAAAGTTTTGTCTTCTTGTTCTAAAAATAACAAAAATGTTCCTATACTTACCTGCTCTGTGGAGTTATTTCCACAGAGCAACCTGGATCCTCCTCATCTCGAGTCCCCTGCTGGTGCTCCTGTCCTCTTCCTCCTGGCCTCTTCCTGCTGCCTGGTGCCCCAATAGCAGGTGCGCCCAAGCCGTAGCTCTGCATGTCCATTCAGACAGCTCGGCACCTCCCCCTCACCAATGGCTCCTGCTGCTGCCTCAGCCAATTAGGAGTGAGAGTCCCCAAGAACTGAGGCTCTCGTGGACATCACTAAATCAAGAGGGGGCTCAGGTGGGTGTTAGAGGGGGTTGCTTCACACAGAAGGTTTTTACCTTCATGCATAGAATGCATGAAGAAAAAAACCTTGAGATTTTAGAACCACTTTCATTTAAAAACCTGATCAGGAGGGCAAAATGGATGGGAAAAGGCTCGTTCACTCTGATCACTCACACCCCCACTTTTAGTCTGGAACTTTCCTGTGCAGAATTCTGGCATTTAAGCATTGTAATTAAGTATATCTAAGGTCAAAATTTAAAATCATATAGTAATTGCCCAACTGAATTTCAGTTATTTTTAGTGGACTCCTACTATCTAAACTAAAAACTTAATTTTAGATGGACTTGTGTCTTTTTTCAACCAATGTTAACTATGAAACGATCTTGAGGCCTTATTTGCACCATACATGCAAAAAAACAGATGGAAACAGACGTGCAGATTTCACTTGCAGAGACAGGGGCTTTCACATGCGCTTCAATGAGTTCTATACACGTTGCAGATTTCTGCACAGAAAAAATTTGCATGTGATACCAGTGTTGTGGTGTGACCAGGGCACGTAGAGAACAATTGACTTTGTTGTGCCCTTGTAGAACGCATGCAGAAAAACTGACATCTCTGCACCATGGTGTAAACGAGCCCTTAGGTTTGAAAACTTACTTTTGAAGATTCCCACATATTTTACTTCCTTTAATGCAGTGACGTTAACTATGTCATGTGAATGCAAACTGCTTGTGTCACAGAGCCTGATGTCTAGACTAGAGGTGCAGAAAGGACGCGCTTCAGGATGCAGTCAGTACAAGAAACACAACATAATCACTGCTTAAAGTGGAACTTTAGTCAGAAAATTACAGTGCATCCAGAAGGAAGACACGTTTATGCCTGTCCTAATCATGTCCAATCAACTTAATTTCCCACAGGTGGACTCCAATCAAGTTGTGGAAACATCTCAAGGATGATTGATCAGTGGGAACAGGATGCACCAGAGAACAACTTTGAGTGCCATGGCAAAGGCTGTGAATATTTATGTACATATGTTTTTTTTTCATTTTTATTTTTAATAAATTGCAAAGATTTCAAAACAAACTTCTTTCACGTTGTCATTATGGGGTATTGTTTGTAGAATGTTTAGGAAAAAAATGAATTTAATCCATTTTGGAATAAGGCTGTAACATAACAAAATGTGGCAAAAGTTAAGTGCTGTGAATACTGTCTGGATGCACTGTAAGTCCTGATAGATGACTTCATACTGGCCGCTTTTGCAGGTATAGCTATATAAAACATAAAAAATACAGTAAGTGTCTATACGGTTTAAAATCCAGTAACGCACCATTTGCCAATAATTAGAGCAATGAGGCTGATAGACAGGACAAATTCTGCTGCCAGGGAGACAAGACCTAAACTTACACGGATAGGGTCTTATTTCCCCGATTCTCTAATTTCCCATGTCAGAACTGTGAACTTCAGCTCTGTATAGCATCTGCAGCCTTTCCCTCTAGCTAAGCCACAATCATACAATCAAGGCACTCAGGAAATGCACACATTTTAATTACAGAAAGTGACATATAGTTTTTAAGATCAAGGAGAAGGGGGGAGTTCTTAGTAAGGCATTGACTGCTCTGGATTTCTGTTTCAATATTTTTATTAAAGTTTTGTTTTAGGAACACAAGCTCAATATACACCCATGCAGGGGCCGAGCATAACAATAACTCAGAAACAGATACATCCTGCTGACTTGTATTAGCCAAATAACAAAATGTCCAATGACAGCAAGGAAGGATGGCAACAAGCTGAACCAAATATTATCAGCAGTAGTCCAATATAATACCGTAAAGAAAAAAAGGAAAGAAAAAAGGTTAGAAGAAAGGAAAAAGAAAATAAAAATGACAAAAAAAAAAAAAAAAGAAAGAAGAGGAATCAGAAAGAAAACAGAGGAAAGGGAGACTAGGTGAATCACAGATCCAGGGCTAGAACAGGCAGCAACTATAAGAGGCTATAACTAGTAGGGGGCAGGGATGGCAAGGAGTATCGTATCCAAGGTTCCCAAACCTTAGGGAATCTCGGATGAGAATCATGAAGAATGCTAGACATCTGTTCATTGATCAATATATCGTTCATCCGGGTCTTCAGCCCTTGAAAGACAACCAAAGGGGTTCTCCAAGCTTGAGCTATGGCATATTTGGCCGACATAAACAGGTAGGATGCCAGTTTCTGCTGAGATCTAGACAGACCCAAAATTGGGCAATGCAGAAGGGTCACCCTTGCATCCCTGTGAAATAGCGTTTGTAGCAAACCAAAAACCCTAGACCAGAAGCTTATCAATCGCGGGCACGACCACCAAATGTGTAAGACGTCCCCGCATAGACCACAGTTCCGGAAACATCTATCTTCACAGGGTCCGAGGTAAGGCCACCGCCCCTCATTCGGAGTTGAATAGGTTTATGCATGCGACCAAGCGAATTAAGTTTCTTGACCAACACTGGCCCCGGTTTATTGGTGCTTGTATAAAACCTATGTCCGGCCCAACGTAATGCTTTCTCAGCTCGTGTAGTGGAGAGAAGATCAAGTTCAGCAACCACCACATCTCGAGCTTTCCTGTTGGCCGTAGTCAGGCAGTATATATAGAGGTAAAATAACACCCCCCACCTGAAGCCGGGAGATCCACATAACCAAAATCCTGGTATAACAATAACAGTAGTGGAAACACAATAAAAATAAATAAAAATCATAGTAATAAAAAAAACAAAAATTCAACTCAAAATTGGACAGCGAGGAGCCGGCGGGGAACGAGGATCACCATCAGTATAGACCAGTGTTGCATATTAGAATATTTCAAACTGTAAGACTAAAAACACGCAACCTACAAAAATATATGAAAAGCTCGCCCTACAAAAGGGCCAGTCAAGGTCTCCACCCCATCAGAAACACGGAGAGTCACGTCAGTGGATCAAGCCATCTGGAAAGCAAAAAATCTTACCCATCCAACCGTACTCAACCTGGATCGGAGCGGGAGGATCCAGACAACGGAGTGGAACTAGGGAGGGAGCGTTTACGGCTGCCAACTTTCTCCCATATACGCCCCAGCTGAGATGAAGGAGGATGGGAACCGGAGGGCCGAATTGGGCCGTCGGAGGTATCCCGCGAGAGCAAAAGGTGTAGCACCTCCAGGGTTGACTTGGCCTCTTCCAGATTGTGGACAACATGGCTCCGACCTTGGTACGCGAATGTAAGCTTAAATGGGAAGCCCCATTGGTACTTGATGTGACGGTTCAAGAGGACTGACGTGAAAGGTTTCATCTGTCGACGTTTCTGTATGGTGGATGGTGCCAGATCCACGAACAGCTGGTACAGATGACCCTGAAAGTGGAGATCCTGCTTGTCTCGCGCAGAGCGAAGGAGCGATTCTTTCGTACGGTAATAGGTGAATTTAAATTATGTTGTCCCTGGGAGGACCCTCAGACTTTCTCGAGCCCAGGGCCGATGAATGCGATCGGACTCCAAACGGTCTATCGGAATCGCTGGATCCAACTCTTAAAAAAGCGTGGTAGGGGTGGACGTGAGGTCGACGATGGCTTCGGGCAGGCCAAGATTACCCCCACGGGACCTATTCTCAAAATCTTCCAGACGCAAGAGCCGTGGCAAGCTCTGTTTTTAGATCTGTAAGGTCTTGTTCATGATTTTCGAACACCGTAGCTGCGGCGTCCATCTTATCTTCAAGAACATCAGTGCGGCTGCCCAACTCGCAAATTTCCTTGGTGAGATGATTGGCTAGTCTGGAGGTAGCAGTGTGAAGCTCCTGCTGCAGCATGGTCTTGAACTTGGCCAGGAGGTCTGCGTCCCCGCAAGGGGGGCTGTGGGTGGTCTGCGTCCCGCAAGGAGGGCCGGGGCGGTCTGCGGCCCCCCAAGGAGGGCCGCGGGTGGTCTGCGGCCCCCCCAAGGAGGGCCGCGGGCGGTCTGCGGCCCCCCCAAGGAGGGCCGCGGGCGGTCTGCGGCCCCCCCAAGGAGGGCCACGGGTGGTCTGCGGCCCCCCCAAGGAGGGCCGCGGGCGGTCTGCGGCCCCCCCAAGGAGGGCCGCGGGGTCGGTCTGCGGCCCCCAAGGAGGGCCGCGGGCGGTCTGCGGCCCCCCAAGGAGGGCCGCGGGCGGTCTGCGGCCCCCCAAGGGGGTCTGTGGGAGGTCTATAGAGATGTCAGGCAGGCTCTCCATATCTGACATGGTGTCCGGACCACCAAGGGTAGCGGCAGGGATGCAGCCAAAATCGAGGCCGGGGATTCCGCTCGCAAGTAGGCCGCATCAGCGGGTCGGCTCTGCAAGCGGGCGCGGGAGGCTGCTGATTTCTTCCCCATAGTTGGCGGGGGGGGTCAGCGGAGGGTGAGGGGAAGGATGGGGGACAGATCGGGCTCCCCAGGAGGCAGAGGAAGGCGTAATGTGCCCGGAAGTGGAGGAGCGCGGCTAACGAGCTGCCATTCCCTGCGCTGCTCACGATCGCCCCCGACTCAATCAAAATGATGGCCTCCAGCAAGAAGAAACAGGAGCTGGTAGACGTTTACAGCACATACTAATTTTGCTGCATAATTATTCATGTGGAATGGATGCCATTTTGTTAAAGAGCATTAATTGTTATCAAAGTGTTATGGCAAGTTTTGCTTTAAAAGCAGCAAGTTACCATTAGGCATGTAGTCCTTAGGAATTGAAAGTAAACCAAAGGAATGAGCAGAGAAGCAAGCAGAATGCACAAAATCCAGGAACTTGTTGAAAGAAATGGCAAAACACAGGCAGCACTCGCAACAAGAATAGAAAATTTCAAATAAGCTTTACTTTGATAAATATATTTTTTGAATTGGGATTACATTGCTGTTATGAATACTGAAAATGTATGCTGTGCCTATAGATCTCATTTTACAAAGTCTGCGCTACCTCAGGACTGGAAGAAATACATGCAATCAAACAATGAACTACAGAATTCCAAATCCAAATTAACACACTGGATAGTTTTCAATCTTAAAAAAAGAGCACTCAGGCTGGTGTCATTTCACAAGTAATCCTTTTCATTCACTGCTCCTCGTTCTGTTTTATGAATGAAGTTCAGTAGGTTAATGAGTACAATGGATAATCCTGGATGTGAAGAGGCTTTATTTGACAGGAACTCTAGGTACTGCTCCAGCAACAACTTTTTAAAAATGTACATTAAAGTGATCTTAAGAGTTTCCTCTATTTGATAAGTGAAGTAAAATCCTTTCTAGGTTGCACTGCCAGTTATGAAACAACAATTATCAGTACATTAAGATTTAAATTTTCTTGGCAACTCTCAAACATAAGGACTGGTACACTTGGCACAGATTAATCTTTAAGCTTCTAAATGCTAGTTTGAAGAGCATCATTCATTCAGCATTTACATATCATTTAACAAGCTTTAACCAGCTTTGCCGACGCCTTGGAAGTAGATGTGTTGTGGTTGTGTACCTGTATTTTTACTGTGGTGACCGCTAAATCAAACATTTTAGCCAGCTAAAATATGAAATATACATATTACTCTTAGGTTTTCTCTTTGAGCCAGCTGGTGGAGCTTTAGACTTCTTTTCAATCGTGTATCAGCACATATTTACAGCCTGTTAATAAAATTACTTTGGTTTACAGCTTACAGGCCGGGTGACTAGACTGTGGCCCTTTAACACTTACTCTATGGCCCTTGGGGCTCACTTGCGTGTAGCCTGTTTTTCTTGGGAAAATATTTAAAAATTGATTTTTGTATATAAACGTTAAAAAAACTGAAATTAAAACAGACTCAAATTAAAAAACAACTGAAAAGAAATAGACCCAATACCATATTTTCTGACTCAGCTTTCAAATACAGTTTGGGGTAAAAAAATAAAGCTCTTAAAGCCCATCTTCTGGAAAAAAAACCTCCCCTTGCAGTGTGGCTGCCCTCGTACTGCAAGGGTTTAATGCTTGTATCAGCACATATAAACCTGGGGTATTGATTGGGGAAGGACTTTTTAAAACTGAGCTCCGCCCAAAAGGGGACGTTCTGCTTTAACCACTTGAGCTCCTGAGGATTTACCCCCCTTAATGACCAGCCTCTTTTTGCTACTCGGCGCTGCACTAATTCAACTGATAATTGCGCGGTCATGCAATGCTGCACCCAAACGAAATTTACGTCCTTTTTTTTCACACAAATAGAGCTTTCTTTTGGTGTAATTTGATCACCTGTGCACTTTTTATTTTTCACGCTATAAACAAAAAAAGGCCAAAAATTTTGAAGAAAAATAATATTTTTTACTTTCAGCTATAAAAAATATATAGTAAACTCAAAGTTAGTAATAAATTTAGGCCAAAATGTATTCTGCTACATGTTTTTGGTAAAAAAAATCCCAATAAGTGTATACTGATTGCTTTGTGTAGAAGTTATAGCGTCTACAAAACTATGGTATAGATAAAGCAATTTACGCCATTTTTCTGCTATACAGCGCTGCGCTAGTTTAACGGACAATTGCGCGGTCATGCAATACGGTACATAAATGAAATTTACATCCTTTTTTTTCCCCCACAAATTGAGCTTTCTTTCGGTGGTATTTGATCGCCTGTGCGGTTATTATTTTTTGCGCTATAAAAAAAAAAGGCTGACAATTTTGAGGAAAAAAAAAAAATATTTTGGACTTTTTGCTATAAAACATGTCCAGTAAAAAAAAATGCAAAAATCAAATTTAGTCATAAATTTCTGCCAAAATGCATTCTGCGACATGTCTTTGCTAAAAAAAATCTCAATACGTGTAAATTAATTGGTTTACGTGAAAGTTATAGCGTTTACAAATGGTGGGAAAGATACTGGAATTTTTAATTTTTATTTATACTAATAATGGCGGCGATCAGCGACATATGGCGGCGACCAGCGACATATGGCAGGACTGCGGCGGACATTTTGACACTGGGGGGAACTGACTTGGGGTCACTGACATCCCCAGTGACACCAATACAGTGATCAGTGAAGAAAAAAAAAAACACTGAAACTGTACTAATGTCACTGGGGAGGAAGGGGTTAACATTTTTAGAATTTGCTGTGTAAGGGGAGTGTTTTACTAGGGGGCGGGGGGGGTGTACTGGACGGGGGGGGGAGGGAGGGGGGAGCTGATCGAGGGAGAGAAACTCTGCAGCTTCTCACAAGCTGTCAGAGAACTGACACAGAACAGGGCTGTGTGTAAACAATGCAGCCCTGCTCTGTGTCAGCGATCGCCGTCAATCGCAGGAAAACGGCCGGTAAAAACCGTCCGTGACCCGTCTGCTGACACCCGCGGGACAGGTAGGGCGGGCCGTTTAAAAAAGCGTGCTTTTTGCCTACGGGTGCCGCCCTGACACCGTTTATATGCGGTGGCTGGGCGGCAAGTGGTTAAGTACTTCTCCCCTGCCACATTTGGCATGCAATTTTTTTAGGGCGGGGGGAGGTGGTACCAAGTTTTGACAGGTATCTACTCCCACTTCAGCCTCTCTCCTTCCACCTACAGTCTTTTGGGACACTTTACAGGTCCCAGAAGACTGCCGGGCTATTCAGGAAGCTGGGTGCCCACAGTTGAGATGCCAGTGCTAGGGAGAGAAGAGGGAGAGCAGGGCTGGCTCGGATGAGCACATCGCTGAATCCCTTAGCTCCTCTTTGGCAATCCCGCACGAGTAAGTTACACCCTGCTCCCTCCTCACAGGAGTTTGACTGACAGTAGCAGTTTCTCAGTGACAGGGAGTGGTGCTGCAGCCAACAGAGCACTGGAGCAGAGGCAGCAGTCAGGTAAGTGTTTAGTAATAGCGATGGGAAGAAGAGTTTGTGGGCCATTTTTTTACCTTAATGCAGAGAATGTATTCAGGTAAAAAAAAAATAGACTTTAGAACTACTTTAATATATACATTTTTAATAGTCACCTGGGAGTTCAGATTTAATATACCCTTCAAGTGCAAGAAAAAAAAAAATCAATAAAAAAGAATTGCCTAGTTTTAAGTCTGCACAAGTTTTTGGAAAAGTCTAGCAATACTGATGCTGTGTAATGGATAGTAGAACAGACCAGATTCTAGATTGTAAGCTCGAAAGAGTAGAGCCCTCTAACCCCTTGTGTGCTGTTTGTAGTTGCTGTACGGTTTCATGTATTGTCCCCCCCTCTATTGAACAGCGCTGAGCAAACCCTTTGGCGCTATATAAACTTGATGTAATACTGTATTAAAGACACTCCTGCTAGTGCCACATATTTCTGTACTAACCTTCCATAAAGAAAAAATATTTTAATTCAGTTACCTGCTGTTTGTTGCCTCTTCTGGTTAGCATTACAAATGGCATAGTGTCTCCACAGTCTGTATCTCCCTCCACACTGGTTAAGGTTGGTCCTTTCTTCAGTTGGGTCTTCAGATGCAAGGGTATGGCAACATCTAGCTGGTGTACTTTCACAGACTCTCCGCTGCGTTGCTAAAACCAAACAAATAATTTTAAGAAGAAAGAAGATCATTCTTTTAGACTGAGAAAAACTCCTTTAGCCCTGGTTCACATCAATGAGACCCCAAAAGTCATTCAACTTTGAGGTCTGGCTATGTTCTGCGACTTCATTGCGACCTGCTGCCACTCAGTGCAACTATAGATGGCAAAGCAAATCACACAAAAATAGCGCCAGAACCTTTTTTGGAGTCGCAGCGATTAGAACGGGGCCAATGAAAGATATGGGATGCGACTTTGCACTCGCAAGTTGCATGACAAGTTCAATTGACGTAAACCAGAGCGTACTCAAGCACTGAAGGCTCTTAAAATTATGCATTAGGTTTAATCAAAAAACAAGGTAAAAAGCGAGCGCTATAAGTCAGAAGAGCAGCCAATGCACCAAAGGATACCAAAAAACCTTTCAGAACATAAATATATACAGGGTGTGGCGCTCCAGCAATAATCAATGTATCAAAAAGGTATAGATGAGAATAATAATAAAATACATAACGTGACTTGTGACAAGGTACCACAGCGTTGTGACAATACGCCGTCGGCACCACATGGGTCCCGGCGGCCATTTTGGTCATCATCATACGGTCAGTGCAACTGTTTTTTTTCCCTGTACTACTGCCTTTGAACTGAATTAAAGTGCATATGCTTAAAACGGTATTACACTATTGGCCTCCTCTTTTTCTGGGTGCTTTGTGAGTCATCAACAACCCACAGAGCCTTATTGAAGAGGAAGTGAGGCCACTTTACCAGCTGAGGAGAGCAGTGATGGAAGTACCTGACCAGACTGATAATGGGAGCCTGGAGCGTGCCCTACATGAGCATTGTCTCTACATGCGCAGATTAACTGTGCATCTGGTGAGTGCACAGCCTTATCACATATACCGGTCACCTCAATATTTGGTTTGAATGGAGCACCTATTGCTGGAGATTCCTTCCATTATTATTGTTCACCGCGAGTCACTTTTGCAGTGACAGAATACATGATATCACTAAAGTCACTTTATATGTTGGCACCTTATCACAAGTCACTTTATGTATTTTATATTATTCTCATCTATACCTTTTGATACATTGATTATTGCTGGAGCGCCGCACCCTATATATATTTATGCATTAGGTTTACACACGTGCATTAACACACAAAAAGGGTCAAGAAAAGCAACGGTAATTTGATTATTTTCTTCCTTTTTTGAATAAACCGTAAAGCTTCTGTCAAAGCTTTCTGTGCTTCCAATGGAGTGATTTCTGTACATTTCCTGTCCAATACTCATAACAGGAAGTGAGTGGAAATTTTTGTACATCTGACATTTATTGGGAATGATTTCCACACAAGATATCCCTTCAATTTTTGTCCAGTGACAACCATAACATTTTAGATTTCCCCCCCTATATGCACTCTGTGATAGTGATCACTCTGGCAAATAGTGAGGGCAGACCTTTAAAGGGGACACAAACCAAAACCTGTCAGGGCCCATACTCCTTTCTCATTCTATCTGAAAACTAATAATTTTTTGTCCTTTCAAGGATATAGACCCCACTTAGCAATCAAAATGTGGTGTTTGCATAAATATAAATATAAAAAATAAATGTAAGATTTAAAATACAGTCTAAAAACAGGATGTACGTGCGGTATAGGAGTAAAAAAAAAAAAAAACAAACAAAAAAACAAGAAAACCTTTGCAAAATTTCCAGCACACAGATGACTGAAAATACCCCAAGATGAAAGCCCATAAATGTAATTTGCCATTCTTCAGGCAACACTGCACTGCTTGATAAGACTTAGATCACTTGGCATTTGATAAATGAACTCTGACTAAAGAACAGTACTTGGCAGAAAGTCACATACTTGAAGGTTTTCCAGCATCATCTTGTCTAGAGCCTGAATGAAGTCTTCATCTTCTGCACAGGGTACATGCTTTATCCCACCTCCCTTAATCATCACCTCCTGAAAAGAAAAGAGAAGTTTGTGTATGATAGAACAGTTAAAGCAAAACGAACGTTTCACTGTAACTCACTGTGAGCAGGCCGGGTTTTTATTACAGAAGAGATATGCAATGTACCATCTGCAATAAACTACATCTACTTGTCTGATCACAGCGATTTTCAGAACGTAAGCTGTGCTGGGCATGCACAGCTCAACTTACAGCAACCAGCCTGATTCCGTGTCCTGTGATGATTAATTTCCGTGCACGTGCAGGTGTGATGTCATCGGCATCTGTCAATGAAGAGGCCTGATAACCAGCACACAAGAGAAGATGCCAGTGCCGGAAGGACCGTTTGAAAAGGTGAGTATCTCTGCCATTAGTTCTGCTTTAAAGTGTTACTAAACCCACAACAGTAAAATCAGTCTGTATATGCAGTAAAGCATGCTTGTTATACTCACCATTAAACCTAAGGGGTTAATCCTCTGCATTATGTAAAAATGCCGTTTGATCCTAACTTCTCTGATCCTCCCCTTCTTCCAGTGTCCCCCTCTTATCCCCTGATAAGACATATCGTTTGGAGACACTCGGTACATGCTCAGTTTGGTGGGTATTGTCAGGTTTTTTTTTCTTCTTGGCAGAGTGCATGTGATCAGCACTGGGCCAATCAGCATTGTCCAGACAGAGGTCAGGGGTTCTGCATCCTTCTAAAGAAAAATTGAAAAATCCTCCTACAAGCTTTAACATGTGCTCTGCTGGACACTGATAGAAGTCACAAGACTGCTCTGTTGATCAGAAAAGGTATTTAGTAGTTTATATTTACTAAAATAATTGCATTTCCATGTTCTCTGTACTGTGGGAGACCAGATATAGTGAATGCAGGGTCCTGGGTTTAGTAACACTTTATATTTAAAGCTGAATTCCAATCTGACATGAGAGGCATAAATGTGCGCAGTCACGTTGCTGGAAGAACTATTTTGCAAGCGAAGATGGGCATTAAATACTTTAAAATCTGTCCCCAGAACTTTTTTCTGAAATAAAAAGGACCTGCAGAATAAAAATGATTTTTTTTTTTTTTTTTATAAATATTTATTAAAATAAAATGAATAAAAATGATTGTTGCCACAAATTTTTGTTTCACATGAAATTTGCACAAAATGTTTACAGGACTTATAATTTCAGTAAAAAAACAATTATATAAAATAGCTAGGCCACGAGGACCCAGCGAGCGGCAGCCTGGAAGCCCCTGATTTCACCTGCTGTAGCCAGGAGGAGAACACACCAGGCACAGTGCATTGCGGTGTCCAGTGCGTTACAGTGTATTTTAAATATCTTAGTTTTTTTTCCTGTTTTTTTTTTTTTTTTTCACTGCAAATAAAATAATATGCGCGGTGTACATAGGGATTTGTTCATATTTTTCTCAAACTATAGTCTGGCCCCCCCCAACAGTAAAAAGGTCAGTGAACTGGCCCCCTGTTTAAGAAGTTTGAGGACCCCTGATCTAAGCTGTGCGACAGGCTGCTTATGTATTAATCCATACTGAGTGACAGGTACTCTTCTTAGAGACAGCTACCCAGATCACTTCTACATTAAAGAACTTCTACATAAAAAAACAAACAAACAGTTTGTCCACAACCTCTTTCTGCCTCATCACAGTTACGGCTGCAGTAGGAACAAGGGTTATAGGTTTTTGTTTTTTTTAACCACTTGTCTACCGGGTACTTTCATCCCCTTCCTGCCCAGGCCAATTTTCAGCTGTCAGCGCGTTCGCACTTTGAATGGCCATTGCATGGTCATGCAACACTGTCTCAAAAAAAAATTATAAAAATTTCATATGAGTACAGAGTTTTCTTTTGGTGGTATTTAATCACCTATGGTTTTTTTTTTTATTTTTTGCTAAACAAACCAAAAATTGAAAATTTTGAAAAAAAAAAAAAAGTTTTAGTTTGCTATAAAATTTTGTAAATAAGTGATTTTTCTCCTTCACTGCTGTGAACTTATGAGGCTGCAGTGATGGGCATGGATACGCTGCACTGATGAGGAGGCACTGATGAGGAGGCACTGGAAGGTGGCACTGATGGGCATTGACAGGCATCAATGATGGGCACTGAAAGACAGCACTCATATGGCACTGATAGGTGGCACTGAAAGGCAACTCAGAAGGCCACTGATAGGTGGCATTGATGTGCACTGGTAGGCACTATATGGCATTGATGGGGCTACACTGATCATCAGGGCACTGATGATCAGTGTACGTGTCCCATCTGAGGAATGCTGATTGCCGGCTCTCCTTTGCTCACGAGCTGTCAGCATGACAGCTCGTGAGGAAAGGAATACCGATAACCATAACTGTAAATAATTTTCCTTATTTACATGCAATCAGCTGTGATTGGACACAGCTGATCACATGACAGAGCCAAGGTCATCAACTCTTTCCACTGATCAGTGATCCTGTGTCCCAGGGACACAGCGCACCATCGATCACCATGCTGTGAGCCCCCGGGGGCGCGCACGTTCATTTAAGAGTGGGAGGACATCATATGACATCCTCCCAGAACGAGAGAACCGCCCGCCCGTCATTTCCTTATACGGTGGGCGGGAGGAGGTTAAATGGAAGAACAAAATCCTACATTTGATAAATCAGCTTCTTGAAATTACTCAAAGGAGCATTACAGGGAGCCAATTAGATGTGCAATTAGAGAGCAGAGTAATGACCTCATTAGTCTTTGGTTGCTCCTTCACGGTGCAAATGACCAATTATGGGAGGGTAGACAACATTGCTATTTTAACAACTGAGAAAGTCCCTCCTTGCCATGATGGGAAATGGTTGTGTAAAATGTAGTCCTGAATGGATAGAAATGCAAATCCCTTAGCAAGTAAAAGACCTCCCTCAAATGCATTTTCTCTGTGTATTTAACCCCTTTGAGCCGAATGCTCAAACAAATCTTAATGCCTAAGCACAATTTAGCAACTTTGACATGTTAGTAAAACCATACATTTGTACACGCAAATGGAATATACCTTGTTTTTTTTCAGGACAGATTGGGCTTACACTTGGTGGTGAATGGTAATGGATATCTCCGGATTTTAATTTTTTTATTATCAAAAGGAAAACTGTTTCAAAAAAATAAATTTTTTTAATTTAGCTGTGTATTTCTTGCTACTACCATAACCTACCACCAAAGAACAACCCAAAATAAATTCTGCTCCTCACAATCTCAGCGATACCACATGTGTATGTTAGAGTAAGGGAATTATTCACTATACCCACTGACCCCTAATGTAAGGGACACTTCACTGACCACCAAGTTAAGAAGGTGCTTTTCTACTGACAACCTACATAAGTCACCACCTCTTCCAGTAATCACCAATTTAAGAGGGAAATTCACCAGTCGTGATCAATGTAAAAAGCGCATTTTTCCCACTGTATCCAGAAAAGTTACACCAGAACATGCAATTGATCCAAAATGTAAAACTTTATTTTATTCCCCAACCTTAGAAAAAACAGGCAGCACACAATCCAACTCAGAGGCAATAGGTTTTGACTAGAGTGGATCTCGTTCTTGCTGTGAACACCAAAAAAAAAAAAAAAAAAAAGTTACGTACTGTGTTTTCTTCATCAGTTTCATTCTCCTTGTTTGAGTCAGTCATGTAATCTGTGTTTTCCTCCTCTTCTTCCTCTCTTTCGTCCTCTTCATTTTCAGAAGCATCCTTAAAAAAACAAGTTTTATTCACTAATGAAACTTGGCACTGTAAATTATAGCTACCAATGGGAAATACTACATAAAGTATAATCCCTCTTAATTTAAAATGTGGGTAATAAAATCCTCAAAGTTTTCAATGAAGTTGGATAATGTAGAAAGTTTGGCAAGTGTAATGGAGAATTCAACAGTATCAATTTGTTAGTCCCATTAGAGGTATTATAGACATTCTGTCTTTTTTGCATCGTAGTCCCATTTCTAGGGGCTTAATATAGAACTAGTGTGTGGAGTAGGGGTGTAGTTTGGAATTCCCTGGGATATTTTAAACATTTTGATCCTTTTGACATTTTACAGTCTCCTGTTGCAAACTAGTAAACTATGCCTTATTGGTGGACATCGATACTTTGTGATTGAGAGATCCTCTCTTTTTCTGCCAGGACCTTATGCTCATGTTTTTTTTCCGCTGGCCTCCTGCAAAGTCATTGATGTCATTAGGTAATAGGCTAACAGAGCGTGTTAGATTTATTTGTTGTGATTTTATTATGTTATGGGTGTATTTTCATTCTCTGGCTTGTTTTGTACAATTTCAGAGCTTTATACTTTGTCTCCCTGAAGAAGCGGACTGTGTCCCATGAAACGTGTCGGAGAATATAAGCCAAGTATCAACGCGCACTAAACTATGCCAGTTATGATACCCAGGATACTTAGACATTTATTTTGCAGTGATGTATATCAATTATACTGGTTAACAATACATGTTTTTAAGATGAATGTATTATGTGTGCTCAATTCTTATTACCACAATAGTGGTTTAAATTTTATCAATAAAGTTGTATTTGTTACATATGTTTTGATTCTTTTTGTTGTATGGTGCCTACAAAACCCCATTAGTTTTTTCAGTTAGGGATGTTTATTTTCAACGTTTTTAGTTTGGGAATTTGAATTTTTCAACCCAGGTCTATTTTTTTTTAAAATAAGACTGGTGTTGCGGTCACCCACATCACCATTAATGCAACATTGTTGATGGCACAGTAGCAAAGCTTACATTTTGCTCTAATAAGGGGAATCTGGGCTTCCTTTTAGACCGTATAATGAACTCCTCGGCATAAGTTATTACCAGCCCTGAATGGAGTCCAAGTTCTCATTACTTCAGTACTAGGTATGGTGTTCACTTTCATAAACACAAACACATACACACACACACACACGTGTGTGTGTGTGTGTGTGTGTGTGTGTGTGTGTGTGTGTGTGTGTGTGTGTGTGTGTGTGTGTGTGTGTGTGTGTGTGTGTGTGTGTGTGTGTGTGTGTGTGTCTTCTTAATACAGTCATACTTCTATTTGTTTAGTAGTGGTATGGTATGTTGTCTGGTTTATAAAAGGTAAATATTGTATTGTTAAAACGCCTCTCACATAATTGGTTCTTGACTGCGTTAAGTACACCTTTAACAACACTACTCAAGAGAGAGAAAAGCAATAGATGTTATTTTAAACACGAAACTGAAAAAGTCCCATGATTTCTAACTTAGAATTGGCAAGCAAGAGTTTACATAGGCAGCAATGATGTTTTCAACTTTACTACTCCACCTTGCTTCCTGCTCACCAACAAGGAGTACAAAATGAAAGCTAAAAGGTATCTCTGCACACAAGGGCTTAATGGTGTTGAGAGATAATGACCAGACCAAGGGAAGATCTTTTTCTCGTTCAACACATTTATTGTTCTTTGCAGTTTTACTAACCTCTTCATCAGTAACTTAAGGGTGCTGGGTTTTCGGTACAAAGAGCAAAGAACAACCAATTGATGTTCTACAGCCTAAAAGAAATTCCAACACTTGCAGATGAAGCGCTTATTGGTCTCATGCTGCAACTGTCCCGTTGGCTCTAAGGAGGACTGAGCGATCCAAGTCCACTCCATGAGCAGAGAGCTGGTGACTGTCAGTAGCTAAAACTGGCAATATTTGAAACAGGATGTCATCATTTCTGATGAAACGGCTGAAATTCGAACCATATGTGGCCCTGCTGGCACCCTCCATCTTGATCTCCTTAGATAAGAAAACTGAAGGAGTCGGACTAAAAATTATCATCCAAACAGCAGCTACTTCCTTTAGAATGCAGCCACTGTTCAGGCATTTTGATAGCTGCAGGGTACCCGCTGATGGTAGGGTACACTACTTCAAGATAAAGGCCATCACGATGGTGGCCTGACCAAGGCTATTATAATTACCTAGGGGACCTGAGGTGCATTGGTGGATGTTCCCAGCTCTTTAAACTAGTAATCCAACATAAAGAAAACTGCCCTCTTTTTTAGCTAAAATTAAAAGGTTTGGTACTTACATAAACCAAAAAGGTGAAAAAATACCAATACCAAAATAATAAACCAAAATCATATATTCAATAAATCAGTTATATAAAAGTCCCACACCATGCAGTGTGCAAACAAAATCTTGTAGTGCTTAGCAATATTCTTCATGTAAATTCCTATTCGTGCTCCCCCACTGTGTACCACTCTAATGCACTCACCAATCATCCATGACCCTTTAACTAAAAGAATGTCAAATGTGCTTACCCCAGGGTTTTATATCGCAGTGGGTTTCTTCTCTATATTCTCCAGCTGTCATCCCAATATGGCAGTATCCATCAGCACCAAATCATCATAAGCCAAGAGAAATAAATTCTCATAGTGTAGTACTTATTAGAATAAGATAATCTTAACAACAAGGGTGAATCTCACATGTTCTGGTGTCCAGTATTTTGGCACTAATACACTCAGCTATGATCTCTCACCGCCACTCTGCTCTCCAGAGCCGGCGTGTGTTCCAATCGCCAGAACCGGAACGGACGTGAAATCAGTAGACCAGGATGTGGCAGACGTGCCACTTTGCCTCTACAGGTTTTGCCGATATGGTGTCCTCAGGAAGCTCCACTCCGCCATTTTTCCAGTGTCTTAAATACTCTGCATTGATTCCCAATTGGCTAATGCCGATCTGACCACCGCAAAATGGCATTTATCCGGTTTCCAGTATTTAGATTTATTTTATTCAACCCTGTGCGATTGGAATCAAACTAGTATTTGGAGAAAGTTTACTAAGTATTATTTTTCTTCTAGACCACTAGATTGTAGCATAATCATGGATAAAGGAAACAGGAGGTAGGGGTACTTCAGTCCTTTGAATAAGTTTATATAATGTTATTTTGTGTGCTAACAATTTTATATATTCGTTTTTATATTTGTTTTATGATGGAATTAAAGCTAGGAATGTACATCATGGCACAAATTCACACAGGGTTGAATAAAAGTAGATCAAAGTACCAGAAACCGACTAACTGCCATCTTGCGGTGGTCAGATAAGCATTAGTCAATTGGGAATCATGGTAGAATATTTAAGGCCCTGGGAAAATGGCAAAGTGGAGCCTCCTGAGGATGCCAGTTCAGCAAAACATGTAGAGGCAGAGTGATACGTTCTACCACATCCGGGTCTACGGATTTAACGTCATTTCCGGTTCCGGCGAATGGAACACACACCGGCTTTGGAGAGCTGAGTGACGTTGACGAAATACTGGACACCAGAACCTGTGAGATTCACCCTTGTTGTTAAGATTATAGGATTCTAATAAATACTACACAAAGAGAATTTCTCTTGGCTTTTGATGATTTGGTGTTGAGGGATACTGCCATATTAGGATGACAGCTGGAGAATATAGAGAAGAACTCCAATGAGATATAAAACCCTGGCAAAACAAGCACATTTGACCTGTTAAAGGGGTCATGGATGGTTGGCAAGTGCATTAAAGTTGTACACTGATGTGGAGCAAGAATAGAAATTTGCATGAAGAATATTGCTAAGCACTATGAGATTTTGTTTGCACACTGCATGGTGTGGGACTTTTCTATAATTGATCTATTGAATATATGATTTTGGTTTATTTTGGATACTGACACCTTTGGTTTATATAAGCGGTGAACCTTTTCTTTACTTTTAACTGATTGGTGAGTGTATTTTACACTATTTAAACAGGGCGGCTAAAACATATCACAGGAATCCACAACTAATTTACCACAATATTGTTTGCATTTTTTATGGAGGTTTCTGAGGTTTAAAAAAAATTTTGTTATAAGGCTTTCACAAGAGTAGACGCTTAGTCGAACTTAGTCTGATCTATTTTTTGTGCCATCCATGTATACAAGATGTTTCAAGGTTTTTGTATATCTTAATTTGATTACATGTAGTGGTGCAGCGAAATGAAATTGCTCACTTTTTTTTTTTTTTTTTCACTATAGCTCAGAGAATAACTTTTTTAACTCGGGGAAAATGACAGGTCATTCTATGAGCTATAGTGAAGAAAAACAAAATCCGGTAATTACATTTAAAAAACGGTACTGGCATATAGTGAAAGCCAGTCACTGTATACACTGCTCCTCTCCTGCCTTTCTCTGCCGCCGCCCCCCCTCACATCTACACACAGTCCCCTGTATTGGCACCTGTATTGGCTAAATTTTCGGCCAATATGTTTCGGTGGCCGAAATTTCGGTGCCTCCCTAATTACCTGTATTCGTCCCTTCCTTGTCGGGTTAAGTAATTAGTTAAAACAGTTCGACTACTCTATAATGAGTAACAACAAAAAAAAAAAAAAAAAAAAAAAGACAAAAAACAAAAACACACACACGTTTACAGACTAGGTAGAGAAAAAGATAATATTGTGAAGGGGTAGGTGGGTTGTGGCAAAATAAGATTTTTCAGCTTGTGGATAGAATCATTCATCAGTGCAGAGTTTGTCAGAGTGAAGTGAATCATCCACACATCTGTAGAAATAAGTCATCACTAAGGGCTTGTGTACTTGGGCATTTATTTGCTTTGATTCCCTCTAAGTTTTTTTATTATTATTATAAACACAAATTGAGGCACCTAAAATGGTAGCCATGTTTGCCCAGGTACACAAAGCTTTTAAAAAAGAAAAATGATTTAGTTAACAAAACAGATTCCTACAGTGTTAGAAGCACATTATTTCCAGAAATGCTGATAGCCCATCCTCCTTTTCCTTCCTAACCAAGTAGTTTTCCCCCCTACCCTGCCCAAAACCCCCCTACCCACCCACACAGCTAACAACCGTTATGAGCTCACTTGCTCCAGTTCCATTGGAACTCCTGACACTTAGCTGCATAAATGGGGCAGGACCTGTGTGTGACAGTGATACTGCCAGGCTGCCTGCATGCCCACTCAGAACCACTTCCTGTACACAGATTGGCTGTAGTTCTCAGGTATGCTTGGAGACAATTTCTGAATATCAGATTAGTGAGGGTAAGGAGCGCCGGAAACAGTCCAGTATGTAAGAAAACAGGCTCCAGGAGTATCTTGCTAAATTTGATGTTTTTTACTCTATAAAATCTTGGCAAAATACAGCAGCAAGATCAGAAACCCTGGGCATGCTTAACACCCAAAGCTGCTTAATCAGAGCCGAACGAAAAAGCACCTTCAAGTGTGAAATGTGTCCAGAATTTGTAATTCCACTGCTTTGCTACATCTTGATTTCATAAAATGAAAAAAAAAAAAAAAAAAAAAAAAAAACAAACATTTGATTAAAAAAAAATAGCAAATTTAACTTTTTTCTATTCTTTAAGAGAATTGTGAAGTAGAATAAATAAATAATAAAATCTACTAACATCTTCTTCGTGATCATTCATTTCACTTTCATTCCCAGACTGCTCCTCTGTTTTCTGCCCCAGCTTCTTCCTCTTCTTCATCATCATCATCCTCCAGTGCCTCACCCTCAGTCAAGGAATGTTTTGAATCCTTGTCATTCACAAGGCCTTGTAGATCACAAGATGTCATTTTGTTAGCAGAATATAAATAACATTTTTAGTTTAATAAAATGCATTTTAAAAGATACCAATATCAAAAATAAATTTATTCATTGGGTCTGCCAGTAATTCTTTTTCACAAGTACTTCGGTGTCTGTTTCAAATATTTCCATAGTTCCTTTAAAAAAAAAAAACGAAATCCAGGGATGCCCCTTAAAGATGAAAATCACAGTATTAGACACCATTACTCCAGTGATGTCCACTTTCATGTGCCGTGCTGAGCAGCTGCCCTGTTGTATTAAGAACACAGGAGATAAGCTGTTCTACCGCTCGACTTCTGTTTAATTGTCCTGTTGATATATTCTCACTCAATCAGTGCCACAGGCAATAGGCTGCAGCGCTGATCTGTGTATTTTGGATGTTGGGGGGAATCTTCCCACTGTCAGAATGCAATGACACAGTGGGAAGGATCACATATGAAGATGGTGGTTGAACAAATCAAACTAATCCATGTATGTGGCCAGCTTTACTTATCACTAGCTGAAATAAGTAGTTCTTAGGCAAGGCTAGGTTTTTTTTTTTTTTTTCTCTTTTTTTTGCAAAACTGAGTAGTCAGATTTCCCTGGATAACAAAAGAATTATTAAAAGACAAAAGTACTACCATAAAGTGCAATCTCAGTTACAGTATCAAGACAACAGAGATAAAACCACATCTCACATCTCTGTAAATTCTATTTTATGCTAAAAAAAAAAAAAAAAAAAAAAAGGATTTAAGAAATAAGCAAAAATGTTTCAAAATAGACCAAACTCACCTAGTTTTACCAGAAACTCTCGTTCCAAATCTTGCACTTGTCGCATTGCTTCACTCAGCGAGTTACACAACTTCATCTTTGGTCTCAGCAGCTCCAGTGTGTCGCTAATCATATAATCAATGTCTATGGGGAATGGGTAATCTTTTGTCCACACATCCAGACTTTTTTTCCACCAGACATAACGCTAAAGAATAAAAGTAGTTGAAAACAATAGCTTTTTTCTCTATCACCGAAACAGTATTTAGACAGCATATAGACAAGACATGCGACCATCTTCTGTACTTTAAGGTTTAAAAGGGACCATCACAATGAACAAAAATTTAAAAATCTGCAGCCAAGAATCATGTGCAGACACCCAGAGCAGCCTACCCATGTCCAGAACAACCCTGCAAGTTAACGCCTCTATGCCTTAATCATAGTTCTCAATCTGAAGATTTATTATTTTCCTGGTAGTGTCAAGGTTTACCCCGATAAACATTTTTACTGACCCATCAATAGGATGAAAAGCCTCACTGGCAAAAAGAAAAGTGCATGAGACAAGATGGGGTGTGTAAGCTTTAGCACTACTAGCAAGTGTTGAAGTTTCAATGATTAGCATGTGCGATTCACACTTGACAGAGGTGTTTTTATTTTTTTTTTCATTTTTTTTTAAAGGCTCAACATCACACACTGGGGGGGAGGGAGGGGCTGTATGCAAATGCAGCATGCCTAAAAACACCCACCTATCCAAACTGACATTCACCCATCAAGACATTTTGAAGCTTGCACAACTCCTTCCAGGAGCAAGCCCACTGCTTGGAAGACTGAGGGAAATTGAAAGGAGTACCAAGGCAGGATGTTGTGATGTTTTCATGAATATATCTATCTATGAACAGCACCCTGCAGGCCCCTATCACCAGCCATGATCTGTCTACATTTCCTAGAAAAGCACATAATCCCAGTGATGACATAAATTGTAATGAAAAGAGAAAGGATTTATCTAAATTGTTACTAGCATGTGGATGAAGGGGGAGAGGAGAAACCAGGGAAGGTAAAATATAAAAAGATTAAGCTTTAGGTTCAAATGTGACTGGACTTTTAAAATAAACAGGGAAACATTTTCAGATATTATTGTTCTGCCATTCAAAAAAGTTCAGTTTTCTACAGATTTATGTTTTACAAAACCAGTTGTCTCACCTGAAAATAAACGAGGAAGCAGTCGAGTTTGCGCTTGCTAGAGCCTCGGTCAAAGTACTGACCGCAGGTATCAAGAATAGTGCAGACTAATCTAATGCGAAATAAGTGCTCAGGAGGATCTAAAGGACTGGCAGTACCATCGGAGTTCACACCAAAGGATATGAAGGAATAAAGTGTGCGGAATATAACTGCAGATTCAACCATTCTGTAGTTATAAAGTTCTCCAAGAAATTTTGCACTGCTTATCCGGCGCTGGTTAAACTTTGGCTGATTCACCTAGTTGGAAAATATAAAGTTTATCAGTGTCAGTATATACTGCAGTATACCACAGTCAACAGTACAAACTTCTAACACTTTTTCTACTGAACAGATAAATAAATTGATGAGGCATTCACCTATGAAATAATCTCAAATGTTTACCCGTTTGGTGAATTATTATGACCATGGTTTATGTTATGAAATGAGGCAATAACAATAAGTAATGTAATACACTTTCTGATAAACAACTAACTCTGGATAACCCCTTATGATTTCAGCTTCAAATTTTTAATTAGAAAACAAACACACAAAATCCCCTGCATTGTACACGAACACTGTTTCTGCCAAAATTGTTAGAATACCTCCATCCCCAGACGTATATCTTCTAGCACACCGTCTACCACATGAATGCCAACATCCTCCTGATAAAGCACCAAGCCTGCCAAGAGGTTAGCCACACAATGGATGCTGTTGTATTTTACGTTCCAAATGTTGATCATGCAGCAGATGACATATTCTTTCACCTCAGGATCATGCCAAGACAACTTCCTCATCTGCCGCAAAACCTAAGAAGTAGATACATAAGAGCGGAGGCGGTTTCTAAAAAAAAAAAAAAAATCTCAACATGCATTAACAAATGCTTTAAAATTAAATATACATTTAAAAAAAAAAAAAAAACCCACATACCAACAGCATGACTTGGCTGATTAGTACCTATTATAAACTGTCACATTTAAAGCAGTAATAATTTCACTATGCTCATTATAATAAATTAATTTTCCAGCACACACTGAATGAAGAAACATGTTCATGTATGTTACTGTGATTCCTTCCCAATATTCCAAGTTCTGGTGCCACACATCAAGGAAAAATTGACTAGTTTTACCACAGACACTAGAACACCGTCTTTTTATTACCAAAAGAAACATGAACATTTGAAACAGTCAAGAGAAGGGAAACAGGGGTTTGCAAAAAGGAAACAAAACTATATTACTAAATTGTAATATTCAATGTTCCAGCTATGTAGGCAGTCCCCGCATGACGTCACGCTGGTCCCAGAAACTGCCGGGTGGCAATCTTGCTTCTGACCGCATACTGCCACCTCCTGTCCGACAGACCTGTCAGCAATACCACATCACTGCTTGGTCAGTTAACCCTTCTCTATGCTATGCAAACTTAAAAATGATTTTTCGGCTGGAGTTACACTTAAAAAAAATATGCCTGATCCAGCTTACATACAAATTCAACTTATAAACAAACCTACAGAACCTATCTTGTTCATAACCCAGGGACTGCCTATATACATTTTCTAAACCATTTTAGAAAGCAAATTGCACTATAAGAAAACATAACCAACAGCATTAAATACAGTTAGGTCCATATATATTTGGGCACAGGCATAATTTTAGTTTTTTTTTTTTTTTTTTTTTTTTTTTTTTTTTAGGTATTTACCAAAACATATTCAAGCTATAGTTCTATAATGAATATAGGCTGAAAGTACACAGTCTCCAGTTTAATTTGAGGATATGTACATCCAAATTGGAGGAAGGGTTTAGGAATTACAGATCTTAGGAGTACCATCCCCCTATTTTCAAGGGACCAAAAGTAATTGGACAATTGAATCAAAAGCTGTTTCATGGCCAGGTGTGGGCTACTCCTTTATTTCCTCATCAATTAAGCAGGTAAAAGGTCTGGAGTTGATTCTAAGTGTGGTATTTGCATTTGGAATCTATTGCTGTAAACCTACATCATGCATTCAAAGGAGCTGTCCATGCAAGTGAAACAGACCATTGTAAGGCATCAAAAACAAAACAAATTCATCTGAGAAATAGCAGCAAATCAACAGTTTGATACATTCTAAGGAAAGAAGAATGCACTGGTGAACTCAGCAACATAAAAAGGCATGGACGTCCATGGAAGACAACAGTGGTGGATGATTGCAGGATCCTCTCTATGGTAAAGAAAAACCCATTCACAACATCCAGACAAGTGAAGGACACTCTCCAGGAGGTGGGCGCATCATTGTCAAAGTCTACAATCAAGAGAAGACTTCACGAGAGCAAATACAGAGGGTTCACCACAAGGTGCAAACCAATCATAAGCCTGAAGAATAGAAAAGCCAGATTAGACTTTGCCAAAAAAACATCTAGAAAAGCCAGAGCAGTTCTGGAAAAGCATTCTTTGGACAAATAAAACTAAGATTAATCTGTACCAAAATGACAGGGAAAAAAAAAGAGAGGAGAAGTCTTGGAACAGCTCCTGGTCCAAAGCACACAACGTCATCTGTAAAACATGGTGGAGGCAGTGTGATGGCATGGGCATGCATGGCTTCCAGTGGCACTGGGTCATTGGTGTTTATTGATGATGTGACAGAAGCAGCTGGATGAATACTGCAGTGTTTAGAGATATACTGTCAGCTCAGATACAGCCAAATGCAGCAAAGTTCATTGGACGGCACTTCACAGTACAGATGGAGAATGATCCAAAACACTTTGCAAAAGCAATTCAGGAGCTTTTGAAGGAAAAGAAGTGAAACATTCTGCAATGGCCAAGTCAATCACCTGATCTCAACCCAACTGAGCATGTATTTCATTTGCTGAAGGCAAAACTAAAGGCAGAAATACCCACAAAGAACAACTGAAGACAGCTGCAGTTAGAGCCTGGCAAAGAATCACAAAGGAGGAAACCCAGTCTTTGGTAATGTCCATGGGTTCCAGACTTCAGGCAGTCATTGCCAGTAAAGGATTCTCAACAAAATAATAAAAATGAACATTTTATTTATGATTATATTCCTTTGTCTAATTACTTTTGGTCCCATGAAAAAAAGGGGAGATGGTCATTCTTAAGAGCTGTAATTCCTAAACACTTCCTCCAATTTGGATGTACATACCCTCAAATTAAACCCGAGAGTTTGCACTTTCAGCCCATATCCATTATATAACTATAGCTTGAATATGTTTTGGTAAATACCTGAAAAAAACAAAAAACAAAAACAAACTGTGCCTGTGTCCAAATATATATGGACCTAACTGTATGTAAACCCAACATTTCATATTTCTGATATGTGCCTGCTGTACCATGTACGTGTATGGAAAAGTATTCTATTCTCTTTATATTTCTTTTTTTTGTGAAATCCCTGTGCTAGAACTTCAGCCTGCTCTCATCCAATTGTGGGTGCGAGTATCGCAGCTGGTCCCGCACCCACAGCCAAATGGGGCTGCTATGTAGAGACGTGCGGGGCTACCATTCATTCTTAATGACAGCCCCACGCATCTCAACCCACAGCAGGTTTGCGGATGTGGGAACTGCAAGGAAATCTGCAACTCCCTCCCCATTGGCTTACCTTTACATAGGCTATCCCCCCTCCAGTCCATCATGAATACTGCTGCCAGGCTAATCCACCTTACCAACCGTTCAGTGTCTGCTACCTCTCTCTGCCAATACCTCCACTGGCTTTCACTCGCCCAACGAATAAAATTCAAAATGCTGACAAAAACTTACAAAGCCATCCACAACTACCAAACCGCTCTCTTCGATCCTCCCAAGACCTCCTGCTCTCTAGTTCCCGTGTCCTCCTCCCATGACCACCTCCAAGACTTCTCCCGAGCTTCTCCCATCCTATGGAACTCCCTACCCCAATCTGACTGTATCCTAATCTATCCACCTTTAGACGATCCCTGAAAACCATTCTCTTTAAAGAAGCCTATCCTGCTTCAAACTAGAGAACTGCCTTTTTTTTCCTCCATTAGCTCATCCCCCCACAGCTGTTACTTTTTGTATTACTCAACCCTTCCTCCTAGATTGTAAGCTCTAACAAGTAGGGTGCCCAGTTTCCTCTTGTACCAAATTGTATTGTAATTGTTATGTCTACCTTCATTTTGTAAGGCGCTGCGCAAACTGTTGGCGCTATATAAATCCTGTATAGTAATAGCCGTATGCTGCAAAGGCACAATGCAATTTCCTTGCAGCCGTGTTTTGAAATAGGTGCATGCACCTTTATTCTGTGGGAAATGCAGACACAGCAGCTCTTTCAAATAAATGGGCTGCCATGCCACCTGAAACGTGGGCTGCAAACCCACTACAATGTGAACCTAGCCTAATGCGGTACTGTTTATGTATTAAAATAAAAAGATTCAGAGAAAGACAAAGAGTGATAAATATGATTCCAGTAATTCTTAAATTTAGGCTAAATTACCTGTGCAAGGTTTGCTGAATAATTCTGTTGCTATACAGCTTGCCAATGAAGAAATGAAATCTAGCATAATGTTAAATAAAAAGTCACCATCATACATTGTATGAATGAACATTCCCTGGGGCAATGACAGTAAAATAGCAAGTGAATGCTGGGACCTAAGCAAGGGAACACTCGTTTTAGCTGAAAAAGTAGCAATGCTTGTGAAATCAAGGCTTCTTGAGGTGCTATCACACACACAAACACACTTTTAAAAGAATTGAACCCCCGCCCCAAAATATCAGTGATTAAATAGTTACATAAAATAAACATATTAATGTCAACTTAACCCCTTATCTACCAATGTATGCATAAAACATTGGGTATTTAAGGGGATAAAAAGCAAGCTCACAGCTGCTGCAATATAGTTTTTCAGCCGACTCTAGGATTTCATGTAAAAAGTTATCAGAATGGCTGCAAATCACATTAAGCATATGGATCCCCTCATAATTTATACCAAGCCCCTTTAGGATCCTCTGGATTTCTCAAAGGTACCCTATAAAAAACATCAAAAAAACAAAAATTGTAAATCCCCCCCCCCCCCCCCCAAAAAAAAAAAAAAAACATCCACACCAGACTTATCCAAGCATGCAGCATAGACGGCCAAGAAAGGGGGGGGGGGGGGGGGGGGGAGAGAGAGAGAGTGCTCCCAGGCTCAACCCAAGCCATACCAGGTCACATGCCCACAAGGGCCTCTTCCCCACAAACCTGGCCCACTGTTTGGATATAAAAAGAGCATCTTAGAGAGTTGGAGTGTCTCAGAAGATGGGTAATTCAGAATAATGTTCCTCAATCTAAAAATCACAAAGTCTTTAAATATATCATCATCTACAGTACATATCATCAAAAGATTCAGAGAATCTGAAGAAAGGCCATAACGCAATACTGGATGCGCATGATCTTCGGGTCCTCATATGGCACTGCATTAAGAACAGGCATGATTCTGCGATGACATCACTGTATGGGCTCTGGAATACTTCCAAAAATCATGGTCTGTGAAACAGTTAGCTGTGCCATCCAAAAATGCAAGGTAAAATGCCATCAAGCAAAGAAGAAGCCATATCTAAACATGAACCTGAAACGCCGCTGCTTTCTCTGGGCCAAAGCTCATTTAAAATGGTCTTTTGCAAAATGGAACATGGGTGCCGTGTCCTCCAGACAAAAGAGAAGAACCTCTCAACCTGTTATTAGCGCTCAGTTCAGAAGCCTGAACCTCTGATTGCATGGAGGTGTATTAGAATGTATGGAATGGGCACCTTGCACATCTGGAAAGACACATCAATACTGAAAGATATATCCAGGTTTTAGAGCAGCATATGTTCCCATCCAAAGACTTTTTAGGGAAGGCCTTGCATACTTAAGGACAATACTAAACCACATACTGCATCTATGACAACAGCATGGCTTTCTAGTAGAAGAGTCTGGGTGCTTAAATGGCTCTCCTACAGTCCAGACATTGCACCAATTGAAAATATTTGGCATATCGTGAAACGGGGGGGAAACGACCCAAGACTGACGAGCAGTTTAGAATCATATTGGGCAAGAATGTGACAATATTCCGCTCTCAAAACTCCAGCAACTTATCTCCTCAGTTCCAGGGAGCATCAAAAGGAGGGTATGCTACACCGTGGTAAACATGGCCCCGCCCCACTTTGAGACGTGTTGCTCCCATGAATTTAAAAATCACCTTTTTTTTTACTTAAAATGGTACATTTTCTCAAACATTTGGTATGTTTTCTATTCACTATGGTGAACAAAGTACGAGTTTAGATTTGCAAATTATTGCATTCTGTTTCACACTGTAGATTTCACACAGTGTCCCAACTTTTTTGGAAATGGGGCTGTACTTTAAAGCCAGCCATTGCTGGTTCAAATCTTGGCCAGTTCAGCAGAGACTGACTGAAGTATGGACAGACTGATTGTACCCAAGCTGATCCACCAATCAACAACCGGCATGTCGGCTATAGCCTCTAGCAATAAATCACTGTGCTCTACCGGCAGGGACGACCCCCTGCAACCTAATAGGTCACGGGAGGAATTCCCTAACACTGCTTGCTGATGGGGGAAACTAACGATTTTTTTTCCTGCAACCTGCAGGAAAGACAGTCACATAATACATGACCTGCCTAAATGTAGATATTTGTGCAGTGTTGTTTATTATATGTTTCACATTGTGGTTGAAGACTAACACAGGAACATGCAAGCAAACAGATTCTGTGATTAGCACCCCAGGTTGTTCTCAGGGACTGGACTTTCATCCAAGCTTACACTAAATCCTGCTCTCTCCAGAATAAAAATCCCCTCTGCTATTCAACTGTCAAATGCCAATGTGCAAGCTGCCCACTATGGATCAAGAGCTTGACAGCTGAATGGCAATATGTGTGGCTTGACATACACAGAGGTTGGGGCCCTGTAATTCAAGGAACTGAACCCTACCTAAAAAGTTGAATGAACTTATAAAGACTTTGGCAGGACTTTGGCAGTATTGTCGCCTTGCAATTCCACACTTGCAGTCAAAACTGGGATAACACCCACTAACAAATGCACGTTAAAAAAAATTTTATTTAAACTAGAACTATAGGCAAAACTTTTTTTTTCATTTGGGATAGAGTAAGGGAAGGTTATATCGCTGTCATTTTTTTTTTCACCATTTGTGTCCCATTGCAGAGATGTTCCTTCAATTCTTGTCCCAGAGCCAAGCAGGAAGTGAAAGTTAAACCCTGCAAATTAAGGGACTTCTGTGGGGACTCCCAGTTTACCAGAACCAGTGTCCCCACTGGATGGTTTGCCCAGTATTACTTTTCTGGGTACAACCCAAAAATTGGGAATTTCTTTCACTTACACTTTCAATGATAATGGTAAACAGGACAAATAAAGAGTGAATTTCCCTAATGAGAGCACAAACAGGAATAAAAATTGACAGGTGTTTTAATCCATCTCCTATCCAAAACAAAAAAAAAAAAAAAAAAAAAAAAAAAAAAAAAAGTTTTGCTTTTAGTTATTTAAAAATTGCTGCTGAGCTTTTTAACTGCTCTTTGAAAAATAGAACTTAGTATTTTGAACAGGCAAAAAGATTGTTATTTCCATAAAACTAAAATTCCATAGATAAGAAAAGTCGCCTTTCTACCATCCTGCAAAAAAGGGTAAACTAACCTTCTCAGTTGTGACCTTTGAAAGGTCCTTATAAAGTAATTTTCTAATGTATTCTTGCAGTGGTGGACGTTTCTTTCTCACAGTCTTTTCAGCGGGGGGTGGGTTGCAATAATAGTAGGCATTTTCTACCATTGTTACATATCTTGCATCCAAGTGCATGGCTTGTTTCTTGCGCATCATCTGTTCCTAAATAGTTTATAGAAGCAAAAAAGTAAATACATGCTAAAACCAAAGAGCTAAATTGAACGAATAGCTTACACAAATTTTTACTGCTTTTTAAAAGGGGGGAAAAAAAAATTATACCAATGAAATATTGTACATGTCAGAGTGTTTTACTTTATTTCCCAATATTATTAAAACAAAACAAAACAAAACAAAACAAAACACACACACACACACACACACACACACACACACACACAAGAGTCCATTTACAAATAGTGTAAATAATTTGTTAAATTTTCACAGTGCTAGAGTGCAAACCTCAAATATAATTATAAAGTAAAGTAATTATACAGTAAAGATAACACAACAAAGCACACCAGAAAACATCTTTTAAATCAATGAAATCTAGATAAATTGCACTTACAAAGTAGTAACTTGATCAAAGCGTATGGTATATCAAATCCCACCAGATGTAAAAACTACCACCAAGAAGGGAAAGCTTTGGGGGGGAACAGGACAGAACACAGACTTTACTAGAATGAAAGACAGCCCATACACATCCAGAAAGTTGTATCCTAGATGGGAACTAAGCTGGCAAGCTGGAGGAAAAGTACCTCCACTTGCATGTTTCAGGGTTCTCCCCATCATCAGAGTAGAGGAGAAAAAGGCATCCAGAAATATATATGCAAAAAGAGGACTGGAAACGGTGACCAAAAAATGTGCAGAGGAAGGGGAGACTAAACAAGGCTGCACTGTGCACTGCTGACTTGTTATGCCAAGCCACTCTAGCTCCTAAAGACTCCTTACTGGCAGGAATGATGCCAACTGATTGGCGTAGAGCAAATCTACCAATGTTCAAAATAGCAAAATGTATATCAGAAAACTATAAAGCAGCAAGTTTGACAATAATATGAAGGGTATTTGAAAGAATTGTTATATATACACCTCACCTTCTCTGTCTCCTCGTCCTCAAACACCTATCCCAACAAACGGCAAACAATTACCAGCAGAAACCTCCGGAATTGGAACCCTGCTCCCTTCCACTCTGCAACTGACCAACTTTACGACAACATCCATCCCCTGTCCTGGCCTGACCTGGCCACTGCTGTCTACAACAACTCGCTTTCAGCCACTTTAGACTCGCTAGCATACCCAACAACACGAAGCAATAGGCCCCGACTGCTACAACCCTGGCAAACCAACCACACTAGAAACCTGAAAACGACATAGTTGTGCGCTGGAGCGACTATGGCATAAAACCAAATCCCAACAAGCGTTCACCCGCTATAAATCTGCCTTCTTAATGTACACTTCCTCCCTTCACGCTGCCAAACAAGCCTACTTTATTACCCTCATTAGTACCTTCTCCTCCAGTCCTCGCAGGCTCTTCTCCACTTTTAATGCTCTACTTTCTCCGCCTCCACCCAGTACCTCACTTACCCCCCACAAGATTGCCAACCACTTCAAAAACAAGACTGACGCAATTCATAGGGACTTCACCACTGCTCAGACACCCACCCCACTTAGCACTCCTCACACAATAACCCCCTCAACACTTTGCTCCCTTGACCTCACTACCACCGAAGAGGTCACCCGCCTCACCACCTGCCCCCTGTCCCCTCATAACTCCTGCGGTCCCCCTCCTCTTCCATCCTATGCTCCCTCACTCACATCTTCAATCTTTCCTTCTCCACCGGCACCTTCCCCTCCCCTCTAAAGCACGCGCACATCACTCCCATACTTAAACTCTCCCTGGACCCCTCCGACCTGAACAACCTAACACCCATCTCCCTACTGCCATTTACCTCTAAACTCCTAGAACGCTTAGTCTACAATCGCCTGAGCTCCCATCTCACCGACGACAACCTTCTCGACCCTTTACAGTCCGGCTCCCGCCCCCTACACCCCACTGAAACTGCCCTACTCAAACTCACCAATGACCTACTAACCGCCAAAACCAATGGCCACTATACTATATGAAAAAAAAAAAAAAAAAAAAAAAAAAAAAAATCTCTGCTGGAAAAGTGTGTGGTATGCCCACCATTAGAATATACCACCCTGCATCCACCCACTTCTAATGGTGGGCACACATGAAATGTTCCAAAAAATATTATAAAATATATATGCCAAAGCATAGGGGCCATCCATCCGCTGGCCACCCCAGGCCCCCATGCTTTGGCATATATGTTTTTTTTTTTAAACTACGGATAAAAAAATCTCATCCAACAGCACTGCACACACCTACTTTTGTTTATTCTGACAGCAACAGGGTCTTGCTCTCAGAATATACATGTCGGTGCTGCAGCTGAATGACATCCTCATTTATCAAGCAGGCTTTTTCCCCCTTCCTAAGACTGGTATTTACAAGTCGTTGGGGGAAGCCCCGGCGATTAGGTTGCACAGAGCCACATGCGCCACTTCCCAGATTGTATAAATGTCTAAACAGTGGCACGCTTGAATAAAAATTGTCCACGTATAAGTGGTACCCCATATGGAAAAAGGATGACACCAAGTCCCAAAGTATCTTGCCACTACTCCCCATGAAGTCTGGGCAGCCGGGGGGCTCCACGTGACTTTTATCTTGTAAATCCGAAACTTATATTTATAGCCTGTTGCCCTCTCACAGGTCTTATAAATCTTGACCCCATATTTGGCGCGCTTGCTGGGGAGAAATTGTTTGAATGCAAGGCGGCCAGAAAAATTAATGAGGGACTCATCAACGCAGATGTTTTGCTGGGGAGTATAGACATCTGAAAATTTTTGCTTAAGGTGATTTATGAGGGGTCGAATTTTGTGGAGCCGGTCAAATTCAGAGTCACACCGAGGACGCCAGAGTGTATTGTCGTTGAAATGCATAAAACGCATTATACTCTCATATCTATGCCTGGCCATGGCAGCAGAGAACACGGGCATATGATGAATTGTATCTGTGGACCAATCCAACCGCAATTCATTTTTTTTTTAGTAATGCCCATGTTGAGGGTTAGGCCCAAAAAAATGTTAAAATTTGGAAATGGGTTTCCATGCAAATGGTCTGGCAAGGTTTGAATTTGGGGTGGTGAAGATAAACTGTTGTGCATATAAATTGCTTTGATCCACAATCAATGTATACAGATCTTCCGTGAAAAACAGCTCCAAAAAATCAAGAGTAGTTCCACCTGAATTCCAGGTTGGGCAGTGAATGGGGGAAGTATGGGTGCTGCAGAATTTGTGGGCTGCCAATCGGGATTTGTAAGCACATCCGGAAGGACACTAGAGACTCTACAGGCCTGTGTGCAAATTCTTGGTGGCTGCGGAACACTACTTGTGCTCGCCACCGCACCAGCTTGTATTGCACTTATGGGACTCACCACGTCACCAAGTGATACTGCAGTGTTGGTATGTGAAAGACCAGGATGTACTAGGCCGCTGGTGAGCACCAGTTCATCAAAAGGTAGAGCAGCGCTACTACTGGCGCTCTGCTGCATATGAGAGTCATCAAAATTTACCAGCAAGTGCAAGCAGAGATCAGGCCTGATTCTGCAAACACTGCGATTTTGTGTGCAATGTATCACGTGGCAGAGACCAACTAACACTGAACTTTCTGGGGGAGAAGGGGGGTAAGCGTAGGGGCTAAATGCAGGTGTCAGGGCTGAACCCGCTAACGCTGTTTTTGGGGACACTATACTACTGTGATCACTGGTATAGTGCTGATTTTATCAGATATTGATCCATTCAGACATTATCCTAGCAATGGAGGTTGTGTATGTGAGCGTGTTCCTGGCAATCAAAGGGTTCAATGTGATGACTGGTGTACTGACAGGCAATCGAACGCTATCTGGGAGGGGCAAGAAAACCATGGGAGCGCGAATCATGTATATATACACGTGATTTTGCGCACCCATGCCACCCTGTAGCAGTATAGGGTGGCTATAAAAAAAAAAAAAATTTAATCAAATTTGTTAATAAATTTAGGCCAAAATGTATTCTGCGACATGTCTTTGCTAAAAAAAAAAAAAACCCAATACGTGTAAATTATTATACAGGATTTATATAGCGCCAACAGTTTGCTCAGCAAACAAGAGGGATACAAGTTCAATACAAGAGGGATAGGAGGGCTCTGCTCCTTGGAGCTTACAATCTAGGAGGGAGGGGCTAGTGGTACAAAAGGTAGTAACTGTGGGGAATGGTGGTGATCAGCGAATTATAGCGAGATTGCGGAGGACATTCTGACACTGGGGGGAACTGACTGTGTTACTGACATCACCAGTGACACCAATACAGTGATCAGTGCTAAAAAAAAAAAAAAAAAAAAAAAAAAAAGCAATGACACTGTACTAATGAAACTGGGCAGGAGGGGGTTAACAATGAAGGGCGACCTAAGGGTTAACTGTGCTGGGAGTGTTTTACTAGGGGGCCGTGTCAGTGTGCTTCACTGTGCACAGCCATCCAGAGCAGTATGGATGGTCTGTTGGTAAACAAATTAGCCCTCCTCCCCATTGGCGATTGTTGGTAACCACCGGCCGGGACCCGGTGATTGACAACCGCAGCTGGCAGAGCAGGTAGGGCATGCGCCCCCTACCCGGAAATGCGAAATCACACAAACAGACACACACACGTGATTTTGCGCACCTGTGCCGCCCTGTAGCAGTATTTCTGCTATAGGGCGGTCAGGAAGTGATTAAAATATGGAAAACCCTTCCCCAGGGAGTGGTATTAGCTGAGAGTGTCGACAAAAAAAAAAACTTTGAGGTCTCCCTCAGGAAGCAGAATATACAAGGCTATAGCAATTGTTAGAGAATAAAAATCACAAACACAGGCTGAACTGGATGGACCTGTTTCATAAAACTATGTAACTATGAGAGGTAAACAAGGCGCGGTTACTTGTTGTGAGGCCACAACAGAGGACGAAACTACTAGTAGACCAGCAAAAAAGGGGACCCCCCCCCCCCCCAAAAAAAACACAATTGAATAAATCAGTGGGGCAAACAGAAATCACTGGGAACAGGGCAAACCAGCAGCCTTGAAAGTAGTGCAAGTGGTGTCGGGTAACAGCTGCCTGTGATTGTAACATGGAGCTTGCAATCTGTTGCTTGGTTGCAATGGATGAAGGAGAGACCTACTACCAGACCACCAGGAGAAAAACTTGTTATTACCCGATAACTTTTTCCTAGAATCCTCTAAGACACTGCACGAGAGAGATGGCTCTGTCCACCTGCAGGACTCCCATGTCTGAGAGTTTAAAAGGGCTACCGAGAGCCAGCAGCCTCACTTATTCCTAAAACTACAAAAAGCTTTAAAACACAGATTAACGAGGAATAGGGCAGAAGCTCACTGTCACAGAGGATTCAAGGAAAAGGTGTTAAAGTAATAACTCAGGTTTTCCCATAATCATCCCCCAGGACAGTTCACACAAGAAAATAAGCAACATGCTAACTAGGGTGGTTTTATAACAGGCCCGCTAAAACACACAGACAGGACCTTGGATTTTCTAAAGGCCTTGATACTGCACTATTCCCATGCCTCAAAAGTAGCAAATTTGCCTACTTACACCCTGTTCCAAATTATTATGCAAATTCTATTTAAGTGTCACAAAGATTAAATATTTTGTTTTTCAGTTTAACTCATGGATGGCATTGTGTCTCAGGGCTCTTTTGATCACTGAAAACAATTTCGGACACCTGTGATAATTAGATTAGCCGGTGAGCCCAATTTAAGGAAAAACTAGTAAAGGGCAGTGTTCCACATTATTAAGCAGAGCACCATTTTCAAGCAATATGGAGAAGAAAAAGGATCTCTCTGCTGCCGAAAAAAAGAGTGAAATAGTTCAATGCCTTGGATGAGGTATGAAAACATTAGATATTTCACGAAAACGTAAGCGTGATCATCGCACTATTAAGAGATTTGTGGCTGATTCAGAGCACAGGCGGGTTCGTGCAGATAAAGGCACATTGAGGAAGATTCCTGCCAGATCCATGCATTGGATCAAGAGAGCAGCTGCTAAAATACCATTACATAGCAGCAAACAGATATTTGAAGCTGCTGGTGCCCTGGAGTCCCACGGACATCAAGGTGCAGAGTCCTCCAGAGTCTTGCAACTGTGCATAAACCTTCTATTCGGCCACCACTAACCAATGCGCACAAGCAGAAATGGCTGCATTGGGCAGAAAAATACATGAAGACTAATTTTCAAACAGTCCTGTTCACTGATGAGTGCCATGCAACCCTGGATGGTCCAGATGGATAGAGTAGTGGATGGTTGGTGGACGGCCACCCTGTTCCAACAAGGCAGCGACGTCAGCAAGGCGGTGGTGGAGTCATGTTTTGGGCTGAAATCATGGGAACAGAGCTGGTCGGCCCCTTTATGGTCCCCGAAGGTGTAAAGATGACCTCTGCAAAGTATGTGGAGTTTATGACTGACCACTTTCTTCCCTGGTACAGAAGGAAAAACTATGCTTTCCATAATAAAATCATCTTCAGCCATGACAATGCACCATCTCATGCTGCAAAGAATACCTCTGCATCAATGGCTGCTTTGGGAATAAAAGGAGAGAAAGTCATGACCTCAATCCTATTGAGAACCTTTGGAGCATTCTCAAGCAAAAGATCTATGAGGTTTGGAGGCAGTTTACATCCGAACAGCAGCTCTGGGAGGCTATTCTGACATCTTGCAAACAAATTCAAGCAGAAACTGTCCAAAAACTCACAAGTTCAATGGATGCAAGACTTGTGAAGCTGCTATCAAATAAGGGGTCCTATGTTAAAATGTAACGTGACCTGTTAAAATGTTTAAAAAGCTGAAATGTTCTTAAACGTTTGATTGAAATAGCTTTTGATTTCAGTAAATATGCTGCAAACACAACAAATGACAATTTTCAGTTCTTTACAACCTATAAAGTGTTTTGAAACTTACTGTGCGTAATAATTTGGAACAGTGCATTGTAAGTGTTTTATGTTTAACAAAAAATACTGTTATCATTAGGAGGTTTGTTCAATAAAATTTGAATTGTACTCTTAATAGTTGATAACATGAGAATTATGCTGACTGTTATTTACATCAATTATTTAGGTAAATGAGAAAAATATTGTTTGCATAATAATTTGGAACAGGATGTAAAGGGTTAGTTTATATACTTTTCCCAAAAATGTCCAAAAGCGTTACAGTGAAAATGTAACGCTCCCTTTTGTGAATAAATGCTTACTTTTTAAGCTGCTTATATAAAATTATCCTCCGCCCTACAGGTGGCAGGATGTCCCCAGCGTTCAATGTGCAGTGCTACACCCACAAACAAGCACGCCTGGCTTCATGTCCTACCCAAGCAAGCACAGTCCACGATTACACTCTCACAGAACACACTTGAAAAAGTTAGTTTATAAAGCTGAACTAACCCTTTAAACATGAGGAGAGTTTTGGCCAAAGCAGGACAGAAATACTTTGGTTCCTGTGAAAATTTAAAACCACTGTATTGCCTTCATTAAAGGTAAAAAGCAGCATCCCCCAACCCCCTCCTCACTCCGATGAGTCTTCACGCAATCCAGCGCTGTGTCTGCTGACTGGTGTCAATCAAATCCTGTGAAGAGAGAGCAGGACTGAGTCACACTGTGTGTGTCTATGGACGCACACAGTCCAAGCTCGGGAGCGAGCCCACATAGCAAGTGGCTTGCTATGTTGGCACATGCAAAAGAGGAGGAGCCTAGAACGCCGACAGGAAACCCCAGAAGAGGGGGTTCTGAGACCACTGTGCAATATCACTGCACAGAACAGGTAAGTATACCAGGTTTAATTAATTAAAAAAACAAAAACAACATTCTTGCCTTCACAACCACATTAAAGCAGGGATTGTTTCAAGATTTACAGTCTTGTAATTAAGAAAAAGAAGGTTCTCTGATCAAAAGTGTGGAGTACACTAATGGCCAGTAAAAAGGGCAATAGAAATGTGAAAACCTGCAAGAAATCCCCCAATAAATGTAAATTAAATAAAAATTAAAAAAGCTACTCGCACCTACACACTCATAAAAATGTGCTAAATACAGAAAAAACAAACATGCACAAAAAACACAAAAATAAACGCGCTTCTCTTAATGTTAACTAATAATGTATATAAAATTCCAATGTGAAAAAATTATACAAACAAACTATTACTACAAAATAATAAAGATCATCTCCATATCACAATTCTTTCAATATTAAATGATGATTTGTGCCATTCAAATCTTCCTTTTGACATATACAATGTGCTTTCACCAACACCGACACCAGTTGTGCCCTCAGCTGAAATTTTTGACTGCATAATTAAGTTTGGTCAAAAATGGCTTGTGCCCATTTAATGAGCGCAAGCCATTATTGACCACACTTAATTGTGCGGTCAAAAATTTCAGGTGACAGCACAACTAGTGTCGGTGAAGGCACATTGTATATGTCAAAAGGAACATTTGAATGGCACAAATCATCATTATATATTGAAAGAATCATGATATGGAGATGGTCTATTATTTAGTAGTTTTTTTGTTTATATTTATATAATTTTTTCACATTGGAATTTTATATACATTATTGGTTAACTTTAAGAGAACATGGCACAATTATTTTGTTTTTTTCAGTAAAAAGGGCAGCTTAATAGCCAATATTTTGAAAGTGGACTTTGGCAAGAACCCTCAAATTACCTTGCATACAAACTGTTGGTAGGTCCCAAGGAGGGATTCTTGGGTTTGAAGCTCCGAGATTTACATTGAGTAAAAGGATGCCTTTAATGTCCAATGACAGACTTTGCAAGAAAAGTTGACTTCCTAGCTTTTAGCTTTCCCATCTGCCCCTCAGAACTAAAGTGGAGTTAAGTTTCTGCTATAGGATCTCTGTGCTTGGAGACAAACCTGTCTAGTCTGTTGTTAAACCTGGAGGCTAACATGTCCGCATCTGGCACTGTCTGCCTGTTACACAAGTCCTGGGACACTCTTGGGTATTGTGGCAAGAACTAAATACACAATTTTTGTTCTAGTAATATAGGTGCGTTTTTTTTTTTTGCAAAAGATAGACTATGCATTTTTTCCTCATGCTTGATGCCTTCTGTATGGTCTGATTTCACAGTCGTCCTGGTTTTAAGTGTACATAACAGTGTCAAATAACAGGGAAAGGTAGACTAATGGGTGCTGTAATTTTTATTGGTTAAGCACAATCAGAAACGTCAGGCAGTTTATATAGCAGAAACTGACATTCTTCATGTAACCTTTGACCCATTACTACCAGGCTGAAGAGGTAGACTCTAACACAGTAAAGTAAATCTAATAGTGAGTAAAAATATTTTACACTCAAACCTGCATAAATGCAAAAAATTACTACTGGATGTGCAGCAAAAGCTGCACATCAATTGAGTGCAACAGAGCATGGATGTCCATACAGGCTTGAAGTGGTGACATCTCTCACCAGTTTAATAGGACTAGTCCGATTCTTACATAACACCAGTTGCAAATGGTTATTTTTGAAACAAATTCATATGACTAACAGGCAGGTTTATGTGACTTTATAGAAATACTCTTAAAATACACACCTTCACATTCCACTGCTGCTTACACAAGCCCTTAAATGGAATTTCAAACCAAAGTGCTCCCAGCTTTATATATACAGTACATACACACACACACACACATAGTTATGTACTGGGTCAGTTCTTTGAACCCATAATGACCCTGTGGTAAAAAGGTATGGGACTTTCTAAGGAGGGTGCAGGTTAATTTCACCAAAATGCAGATCATTGAAAAATAAAATGAAAAATGTTGTATACTTTTGCAAACCCCCAAAAAACTGAAAATCATATGGAATATCCACTCTTACCAACAGAACACTGGTGCGCAAGTGTGAGTCTGGAGACCTGAAAAGGAATCGTCCACAGGTTTCAAGCAGGGTGCAGGCCATCTCAATATGGTGATGTGAAAAGTCTGACAACAGCATCTGCATGAAATAAATGTACACACCTTAGAAAAATATTAAACAAATGCATTCTTTTTTAATTACTAATTTTGAATAAAGACAACACAAGATGTAGACTTTATTAAAGTGACACTGTCAGAAAAACAATGCCCAAAAAAGTCCTGCAAAACTAGAGATTCAATACTCTTGTAGCCCGTGACAATGCACACTGCTCTGTTCATAAGAAACCTACCTCTGAAGTTCATTGGGAACCAGACACTTCCAGGAGTATTAATCTCCTCTGTCCCCCACTGCGCTTAGTAGCTCCTGCCACCAACCATCATGTCATTGAGGGTCAGCATGAGGAACTACTAAGCGCAGCAGGGGACAGAGGAGATTAATGTTCCTGGAAGTGTCTGGTTCTCAGTGGGCTTCAGAGGATGATTCTGCCTAAACATAGCAGCACTCAGTTGCACAGGCAACAGGAGAGGCAAGTATTCACTCTGATTTAGTATGTTGACATTTCTGGCCATTTGTTCTTGAAAAGGGTTGCTTAAAATCACGAGGCCACTGTTTTTTCCCTCTGGGTATTAGAACTGCTTTCACAGTTGAAGAAATAGTGCAAAAATAAACAAATGGAAGACTGATATTCACAAGATCTCAAATATCATAGCATAGCAAATAAGACACATAAATATGCAGTTTGCTTATAAATCTAGAATTAAGCAACATCTATAAGACATTGAAACCTGCAAACGCTTGCAAAGGTGTTTTGGGATTCTATATTTCCACCCAGAAAAGTACCTAAAGTTGGAAAAATAGACAATCTCTCAAACTGACATAGCAAAACAAAGAAAATTCAGTTTTGTCATGTTCCACACACATTATTAGAAAAAAAAAATGAAGATATACTAACAACCACATAACATACAGTATATGCAGCATCCTGAAAGTGGGCTTTAATCTTGGGTGCTGCATATACATGTGTTGCTCTGTTAGTGCTGTAAGTATGCTACGAGCACAGAGATCAGGCTGTTGGTGACAGCCCTGGATCGCCTACAAACAATCGGGAACCGGATCCCGACTAATTGAGAATTGTTATAGCTGTTAGCTGTCTGATTGGCTGTCAAAATGATCATTCACCTTGTAGCCCTGTCCTGTCCAATGTTAACTACTCCTCTAGGGAGGAAGAATAGATACATTTTATATAGACCTCAGAGTCCAAAAAAAAAAAAAAATCTGTTTTTTTTTTTTTTTGTTTTTTTAAGTAAAAAAAATAAAAATAAATAATATATCCACTTGATAACAGAACTTGATCTAATTTAGGAAGCATTAGTGTCTATGCACAGTAGGTGCAAGTGTTAGGCACCCCACAGAGGAGTCCTTTTTTTGGGGGTTCAAACAACGGATTCCTCCCTGCTGAGCTTTTGTCTTCTGATAGCAGGGAGATTTCCATGCCATCAGAATACACTTTTCAGCATTGCAGACTATAGCTAGAAGTAGGGGAATATATTTTGCAGGTTTTATTGGTGGTGGGTCATGGTAATGGCATAAAGATATAAGATTAAAAATTTAAGAAAAATATATATATTTTTTTTACTATTTTTGGCCAGTTTTCCTTACATAATTATAATAATGAAAAAATAATAAGGGTAAAATCAGGTATAATCCACCTGGATATACTAAGACGTTGCTATGATACAGTATATACAGTTACACTAACATGTCAAAGCTACAAATTTGGGTTTGTTTTGACCATGGACATGAAGGAATTAAACAAGTGAGCACTATTAGAGGGCAGAGCTGGGCTGGAGCATTCCATCTTAGGTATTTTTGTCTGTGTATACACAAATCAAGAAGTAGATTTAAGTTACATAAAAATATATTTACAACAGCTTCATAAACCATTATTGTACCTATATGTATTAACGGTGAACGTTATAGCATACCTAAACCCAACAAAAATGTTTTTATATTGCTGCTTACTTACTTAGTGATTATTATTATACAGTATTTGTAAAGCGCCAACAGTTTGCTCAGCGCTGTACATTACAATGGGAGACAGTACAATAACAATACAATGTGATACATGAGGGGTTCGAGGGCCCTGCTCCTTGGAGCTTACAATCTAGGAGGGAGGGGATAGTGGTACAAGAGGAAATAGCTGTGGGGAATGGAGTCATAGGAAGAGTGGAGGAGGTCAGCAATTAGCAGGGGGTGGGGTAGGCTTCCCTGAAGAGGTGGGTTTTCAGGGTTCACCTAAAGGAGAGGAGAGTAGGTGATAGTCTGATGGATTGGGGTAGGGAGTTCCAGAGGATGGGTGATGCCCTGGAGGCGGGCATGGAAGGAGGAGACCAATGGGATGGTCCAAAGAGATGGTGGTTGCATTGGTTTCCTTTACGACTTTGTATCTTATTTTCACCAGGTGATCCTGCTAGTAACATACTTGCTCTCCTAGAAAGACAAAGTTCCTCACTGCTACGGAGAAGTAGCGTTTGTCACCCTGGGACAGGGCTACAGAACATCTCCCCCTCTCCACAACAGTGTGGTGGATACAGTCCTTCACACTGCGGGACCTCCTGCACACTGTAAGCTCAAAGACTTTATCTCCTACAAGAGTTTGCAGCATCAAAAAAACAAAAAAAAAAATATATAAACAAAAAGGTAAATAGCCACGTCTTTACATGTGCGTTCCTGTGTCTGCTGTTAATGCATTCCATGGCCAGAATTCAAGCCATTAGAATGCATTAACACGGGAATGCACACTACCACACCTAGTGTTAAATCATGTTAAGGCGTTTTTGGACATTACTTTTATGCTCAAAGCTCCTCTCCTGAACGTAAAAGTTTTTTTCCTGCCTGTATACTCCCCTGCAGTGTGCATGAGACTTTACAGATAGCTAGGAACAATGCAACTGATAACACTAGAGCACAGAAGGTTAGTAGCTGACAATACCTCTAACAGGATCAACTTTGTTTGCACTTCTCACAACAGATCTATCACATTCAAATTGTATATTTAATAAACCAAAAGAGACCAAAATCAGAGAAGTTAATTGCTAGGATTAACACATCCTTTAAATAAACACCCACCCCCCCTAAAAAAAAAAAACAAAAAAAAAAAAACAACACATCCTATGAAACACATGATGAGTGGGGTAATTGTTTGCATTTTAAAGCTGATGTCGGAGCGGGAAAAAAAAACAAAACAAATTCCCATGATGCAACAGAAGCTTTCCTCTTATGCTGGAGATTAAATTTGTCTAAAATTTAGCGCAGAGGGCAAACGCAGACAGTTTAAAGTGTCAGCCATTAGACTATGTATTAGCCATTTTGTTAAAGGATTTTGATCCTGCAACTGTACAGCAGCTAACTTCTACACTATTAGACCAGACTTCTTTAACTAAGAAGTCAGAATTCTCAATCATATTTAAAACAGGATATGCAATAGTTTTTTTAAAACTGAATACATACAGTAAACTAATGTAACGGTCACGCACGCAATCCATGGCAGCGAATACAATACAAACAGTGTGAACTGCAAAAGATACAAACCTTTAAACAATGCAGAGTGTCTGTTTTACTGAACATTTTAAACTTGGCAAGCTCTCCAATGAATCTCACGGTTTTGTTCTTTGTTTCAATATTTATCTGATCCTTTTTCCTTACCTAAAGAAAAATGCAATAAGTTTAACATAAAACATCAAACTCATAATTTTACCCTAGTCTTTGTAATGAAAAGTTAAAGCTGAACTCCAGGATTACCTTCAGTTGGTTTTGCAGACTCCACTTCTGTACTAAAAAATGTCTTGCTCTGATTTCACTGCACAATGAGTTTTTCACAGTGGGCATTAGAAGCTGCAGCAAGCCAGACAGAGCCCACCTTATTTTGTGGCTGGAAGACATTCAGAAAACTCTAACCCTATCCTCCCTAGTCAGACTGTCCCTGAACCAGGACCTTCATTTGTTGGATTTCAGTTCTTTCAATACTGGAGGTTCAGTGCGAGCATTACCTAGGGTGGCCTGCATACAGCTGGTATAAGACTCCCACTACTCCAGACTGGCACCCACTAAGGCCCCATTCCCATCTATCAGAACTGCTGTGACTCTGCCTGCAACCTCAAATTGCACTGCGATAGTGGCAAACGCACCACCATGTGTTTGGATTTGGATGCCATTCATTTTCAATGGCACCTAAACCGCAGTGCAGTTCTGCCACGATTGCCAGCAGGCTGTCGTGCAAAAGAAGCTCCTACTCCTTTTTGGGTGACAAGCTTTGAGTGACGTTCACTCATGTGAAACCCCTGTGAAGCCACAGGTTTTGGATGCTGTGACCTGTCGAAAAGTAAAGTATGACAGACATCCAACACTTTTTGAAGTGGGGGAGCCCCTTCAGCGTGAAGGGGGTTAAAAGGTAGACTTCCTGGATTTTGTGTTCTAAGTCTCTCGTCGAAAGGAAGGGTGGAATTTTGGTTTAGAATTTGAGGCCTGGGCAGCTCGTAGAAGTGCCCTTCATTGTAAGGAGGTAGAAGCCCCCCAAGCAGGAGGTAGAAGCCTCCAAGGAGGGGGGATTTAGGGGCCTTCCTCTGTGGAAGAAGCACCTTACCTCCTTTGAGATCTTTGATGAATTTGTCAAGTGCCTCACCAAAGGTCCTCCTTCAAAGGGTATAGGAGTCAGGTGTCTTACAGGCAACTTCAGCTGTCCAGGCTTTTAGTCACAAAATTCTGTGACTATGGACAGAAGTCAGAGCTGTCCAGGATTTTTGTGTCACAACATAATTTAGGGTATCAATACAAAAAAAAAAAAAGTAATACTTGTAATTATTCCTCCAAAACATGGTCCTGGAAGGCAGAATGCTGTTGGTTGCTCATTGCCCTAGTCCAATTAGCTGCAGTTGGACAGGCAGAAATTGCAGTGATAACTGGTTGAAGAGCAGGGTCTGCAAGAGTAAAGCAAACCTTTAACGGTGTCTCAAAATTTCTGTCAACAAAATCTTGAAATGAAGGACCATCTTCAATGAGTACAGTAAGATATTTAAGCCTGAAATGGCAGGGTCCAGAACAGTCTACCATTTTTCTCAACTCTTTCTACTGGAAAGATTGGCAATGCTTCTTGGATGAGTGAAAATGTTTTCAGGAATGACCCAATCATCATTCTATTTGTTCATGAATGGAGAATTTCTTTTTAGACAGCACCAATTCTTGGCATGGATCAAACAAGCTGGTGGCAAAATTGCAACATCGATCTTTTTCCATTCTTCAAGAACTACCTCTATTAGAGCCTGGATGCTGGATGGAGAGTGATGCTCAACTTGATTCTTCAGAAATCCCCATAGGTGTTCGGTTTGGTTGAGATTACGAGACATACATGGCCACTGAATCATTTACACCCTGTTCTTCAGAAATGCAACAGTGGCCTTAGATATGTGTTTTAGATCATTGTCGTGTTGTTAAAGTGCACGACGACCAAGGGCACAGAGTGAAGGTAGCATCTTCTCTTTCAATATAGAGCAGTACATCTGTGAATTCATGATACCATCAATGAAATGCAGCTCCCCAACACTAGCAGCACTCATGCAGCCCCACAGGAAGATACTGCCACCACCATGTTTCACTTCAGGCACCATGCAATTTTCTTTTTACTCCTCACCTTTGCAACACCATACAGTTTTGAAGCCATCAGTTCCAAAAACACTTATCTTGGTCTCATCACTCCAAAGTACAGAGTCCCAGTAGTCTTCTTTTTCAGCATGGGCCCTGGCAAATTCTTGGCGGGCTTTTTTTGGGCATAAACTTTAGGAGAGGCTTCCTTCATGGATGACACCAATGCATGCCATTTCTCTGCAGTGTAGGCCGTATTGTGTCATGAGAAACAATCAACCCAGTTTGGCTTTCTACCTTAGCTACCTGCAGTTAACTTGCAAGGCAATTTTCTTTAACCCTTCTCATCAGAAGATGCTCCTGTTGAGGTGTTAACTTCCAAGAACGGCTTGGATGTCTCTGAGATGGTTGCGGTTCCATCTTCGTTACATTTTTGTATCACTTTTGCTACAGTATTCTGACTGCTAAGTAAAGCTTTGCTGATCTTCTTGTAGCCTTCACCTTTCTTGTGCAAGGAAATTATTTTCTCGCTTTCTCAGGCTTTGTGACATTTCTTCCATGTGGTGCCATTGCTGACAGCATGGAATGGGAAGGGGTTTTCTATGCTAAGTAATGCCCTTTAATAATCAACTGTCTACTGGACCCCTGTTTAATGAATAGTTAGACCTGTAGTTGAACTCTTGTTAATTAGGATTTTGTTGTCTAAAATTTAGCTTTCCTTCTAAGGCTTTCATTGAGGTGTATTCATTTTTGTAGCACGGTCTTGAATGAATTTGTTAGGAAAAATACTTTGTGTGTGCAAATGAAGAAATCTTGTTTGCAATCAATGGCCCGCATTTGTGGGAGCATTTTGTAGTATAGTGTCCCATAGAAAATGTTGATTCAGAAAGGAAAGTAAATATTTTCTGACAAATCTGTTGGAGTGTAGTCATTTATGCTGAGTACTATATATGTTAAAGTATAAATGAAATACCATTCAGGATTCACATAACTGTAAAGCAAGTAATAGAGATTAAGTCTCACACTTGCTATGGGGTTACAGTAACGTTCCAATAAACAGGGTAACCTGTACTACCTGTCCATGTCATGGGTCCCTATATAGGATCGAGGCTTTCCCATCATGGTGGGTATATCCCCTAGACCTGTAAAGCAACTTTACAGTCCATCCTCCTGGTGTGTAGTCTCTGTACAGCTCCAAAGGTTTTACTGAAGTTGTACCAATCTAAATGCACAGCTTCTATTGTTCTATTAGGATACAGTGAAGTGATGATTGAAGAATTTGGAGTTTAATAAATTAAAGTGGTGTTAAACCCAAAAGCAAACATTTATTATACCGCAGCATATAAATTTAGATGGGATAGCTACATTAGTTTTCTTTATTTTAGGCTCTTAGATTTTCATCCAGTACATCTGTTTAACATGGCTTTAAAGTATTTTACGCCAACATTTGATCTTTCTGATATGTGGCTGTTGTACCATGTGCTAGTGTTAAAAAAAAATATCCTGTTCTCTTTGTATTTCTTCCCTTTGTGAGAAATACCAATACCTTGGAATTCTGCCAGTCCCCCTGCTTTCTCACGGCAAACTGACCACGCTAGGCATAGAAACACTTTTTTCCCAAGCCAGTTTTCTGGCAGTGCTAGGAAAAAGCCTGCCTGTTCTCCAATGTTAAAGACTTGTGCTGACCCCCGCCCCACCTTTGCAATTTGCAGTGGGTGTCAGTTCATTGTAAATGACACCCAGTACACAGGTCGCAAAATGCAGTATTTGCCTGCACCAGATTACATGGTGCAAAACGAACATACGATCCGGTTTCAGTGCATTTCTAAAATTGGTGAGATATGGCGCGATTTGAATGAATGGGCTCAAATAACATCACACTGAACTGCATGTGAACTGCACAGGAATGCCAGTGTCCAAGCCTTCTGTGGGAAGAAAGTGATTGGCTTCCTTTGTCCCTCAATGGACAAGAAAAAAAAAACAAAAAAAAACACCGGTTTTCAATGTTCTTCTATTTTAGTTATGTAATGGTGTGCGACAATGCTGCATGCTCCTCAACTTAGAACAGAGTTGACACTTTCATGTGAGTGGAGCCTACTTGCATTACAGTGTGTTTTAAAGAGCACGACCACACCTAGTCCTGCCCACTGCTTTCTGGATTGATAGCACTGCCTCTGTTGCTGAAGCCCTCCTATTGTGCTGCAGCATCTGGTAGCAGTAGCAAATGAAGAAGTGATTAAGGAGGATTTGGTTCAGTCAAGGCAGGTAAAGAAGTTTTTTGTATTTACTCTGAGATTTGGTACTACTATAGTCTGTCATGCAGGAGCCTTTAGTTGTACTTTAAGGAAGGAGGGTTGAATGAAGCTAAAGCAAATAAAAAGCTTCATCTGCTGGCTAACCAAAAACTCTCTATATTACAGACAATTAAAAAAGTATTGAAGTGCAGGTTTAATAAAAAAAAAAAAAAAAAAAAAAGAAGAAACACCACACTAAATACTGTATGTGCTCACTAAAACCAAAAGAAAAATAGATTTTCCACTTTTAATACACTTGCAGCAAATGCCACCTTTAGAAGTGCGTGGAATAAACCACATTGTGGCAAATAATGACATGAATGCCATCCTAAGAATTCTTGCCACCAACAACTCATGTCTGACTATGCTCCCACATATCCACCCTATATGAAAGACATTTATAAACAACCTGAAAACTTCAACTTACATGAAATCTGAAGTCCCCTTTTAACATAGAACACAGGTCTTCTGCCACATCAGACATGCATGGGTGCAATGTAGCAACCAATCGTGCATAAAATGGCAACAGATCCAATCTATAAAAGAACAGCAAAAAAAGATAATTAAGTTTTGTGCAGGGGCAGGATTATTTCCCAGAACATCTACTTTACATGTCACAATAAGGGCTACGTGCTGCAAGTGTGCAACTGTGTTTATATTTGAAAAAGGGCAAGTACATCAAGTATAGAAAACATTAGTCAAACCTTTCAACAAACCACGTCACTCACAGAAAAAATAAAACTTGACATATGAAAAAATTTCTCTTCGAAGATGATTTGCCAAAAAAAAAAAAAAATAAGTCAAAAGACGTGAACATTTTTTCCTATCAGTTTGCAGCTCCACATAAATGTACCTTTAGAGTTCTTTGTATCCCCAATTTACTCTCATTATTAAATTAACTCCAGGCAAAACATCTAAACCCACAGTTGAATACAAATATTTGACCTGTTTTATTGGTCAAATTATTTGTAATTCTGTCTAGCAACTCTTGTGTACTTCTGTCAGACAGCACATTCAGCTGGATGTTATTTTAGACAATGTATAGAACCTTACTTATTTCTACACTTAATATTACCTTTGTCTAGGAACAATAAAAAGTGCTCGAACCAGTTTCCTTCGATTTGCTTTGGTGTTCATATTCATGCAGAAATCCATTGCAGCCTGAAATTGAACATGAAAACATCATAGCGGGTTAATGGTCTGACGTCTTTCTGTGCAATCATCAGTTAGCAAAAGAAAAAAAAATTATATATATTATCTATATCTATCCATCTCATTTATTTTCAGACAAAACTAGAATGAAGATAGTCCAAAAGTAAGATGAAATCCCTAAAATCTAAAATGATGGTTCAGGGAAAGGGTAGCATTGTAAAACAACCATTCACTCTAGATAAACAAAGATACATTAGTTGTTGGGTAATAGTGAGGTTTATGCCAAGAGAGACTTTGTGAAGAAAACCCCCTTCCTCTTCAGAAAAGTGTAATTAGCGGTACATACACTATATTGCCAAAAGTATTGGGACACCTCTCCAAATCATTGGGTTCAGGTGTTCCAATCACCTCCATGAACACAGGTGTATAAAATCAAGCATCTAGGCATGCAGTACAAATATTTTAAAAGAATGGGTCGCTCTCAGTAGCTCAGTGAATTCAAGCATGGTACCGTGATAGATTGCCACCTGGGCAGTAAGTCCATCCCGTGAAATTTCCTTGCTACTAAATATTCCAAAGTCAACTGCTCGTGGTATTATAACAGAGTGGAAGCAACTAGCAAGAACAGCAATTCAGCACAAAGTGGTAGGCCACGTAAAATGACAGAGCGGGGTCAACGCTTGCAGAGCACATGCGCAGAAGTCCCAACTGCAGAGTCAAAACCTAAAGACCTCCAAACTTCATGTGGCCTTCAGATTAGCACAACAACAGTGCGTAGAGAGCTTCATGAAATGGGTTTCCATGGCCGGGCAGCTGTATCCAAAGCCTTGCATCACCAAGTGCAATGCAAAGCGTTGGATGCAGTGCTCTAAAGGACGCCGCCACTGGACTCTAGAGCAGTGAAGACATTCTCTGGAGTGACGAATCACGCTTCTCTGTCTGGCAATCCAATGGACGTGTCTTGGTTTGACGGGTGCCAAGAGAACGGTACTTGCCTGACTGCATTGTGCCAAGTGTAAAGTTTGGTGGAGGGCGATTATGGTGTGGGGTTGTTTTTCAGGAGTTGGGCTTGACCTCTTAGTTCCAGTGAAGAGAATTAAGGCGTCAGCATACCAAGACATTTTGAAAAATGTCATGCTCCCAACTTTGTGGGAACAGTTTGGAGATGGTCCCTCCTGTTCCAACATGACTGAGCACCAGTGCACAAAGCAAAGTTTATAAAGACATGGATGAGCAAGTTTGGGGTGGAGGAACTTCACTGGCCTCAACCTGATAGAACACCTTCGGGATGAATTCGAGAGGAGACTGCGAGCCAGGCCTTCTCATCCGACATCAGTGCCTGACCTCACAAATGCATTTCTGGAAGATGGTCAAATATTCCCATAAACACACCTAAATCTTGTGGACAGCCTTCCCAGAAGAGTTAAAGCTGTTATAGCTGCAAAGGGTGGGCCAACTCAATATTGTACCCTACGGATTAAGACTGGGAAGCCATTAAAAGTTCATGCTCGTGTAAAGGCAGGTGTCCCAATACTTTTAGCAATATAGTGCAGCATTCAGTAAAGCAATGCCAACTTGGTACCTTAGAACACTTTTGTAATAAAACTATGAGAGGCATTCAAGTCAAACCAGGACTTTTAATTTTACATATTAAAAAGGGATGCTAGCATGGTGGTACTACACGCAGTAGTTAGTGGCAAGTGTGTCCTATTACTGATAGGCAGTGCACATGTCGTGGGCCAGTCCAGAGACTTTTAACCGCTTAAGAACTGCCCTATAGCTGATATACTGCTACAGGGCGGCACCTGTGTGCAGAATCACATATATAGGGTAGGTGCCCTACCCGCACCGTCATTCGCGGATGTCAGTCACCCGGTCCCAGCTGGTAATTACCAGCATTGCATGACCACACAATTGTCAGTTAAAGTAACGCAGCGCCATAACGCAAAAAATGCCTGGTAATGAAGGGGGGTAAATCCTCAGGAGGGCAAGTGGTTAATCAAGATGGCAGACAACAATATTAGTGTGTGCGTGGGACTGTGTGTGGTGATGAAGTTTATGTGAAGGAAGGCATAAAACTCGCAGATATCTACAGAAGACTTCAAGAACAATACGGTGATGAAATGCTCAGCAGCAGGAAGACATTTGAATGGTGTAAATGTTTCAACGATGGATGAATGTCCTTCAGTGACGATCCCAGCCGTGGTGGTTCCCAGCCCAAAGCAGTCATTCCTATGAACATTAAGCATGTGGAACACATGATCCTGGATAAATCAACACATAACCTGTTGTGAAAATGCACAAGAGACATATCTTTCTGTGGGAATGGTGATCACAATGATGACGAAGTAAAGCAGGCTGTCCTAGGATGGTTCAGGAATACTGACAAATCTTTCTATGCCAAAGCTTTCCAGTTAAATGCTGGGATAAGTTTATAAAATGTATCAGGAGAGCATGTTGAAAAATAAAAGCAGTTTCCACTCCTTGAATTTTATTTTTTATTATATAAACTCAAAGTCCTGGTTTGACTTGAACACCCCTCGTATTTGTAAGACTCTCTCTGCACTTGTGCAGCCAACTGGCAACTACTTCGTACACCTTAAATTTATGTCAAAAGCAGGTGCACTGTAAGCACATGACAAGGCGCCACCTACCTGCAAGCCCCTGTATAAAAGGGGTGCCTTGCTGGTCAACAATAGCACTACTGCACTGGGTGGGCATTTGACCCAAGGTTGAGAGACTTAAGGCCTCACTAGGAAACACCACAGATGGGCACTGAAAGGCTCTTCTGGATAAATAGCTGGCACCTTGTGAAGCTTACACTTAGACTGCATTTTCAGTTTCAGATATTCAAAATGGATGACAGGTTCACTTAACGTGATGAGAAAGTGATAACAAAATAAAAAGTGTTTCAATCTAAAGTCTTAGTTTTTGTCTCTCTCTACCATGCTATTCACTAGAATGAAAAATTCAGCATACATCGTCCCATGGGTAACGCTCTTGGGCATGTTTTTTTTTTTTTTTTTTTTTAAAACTCTCTCACCAAGGACAGAGCATGTGGTGGTTGAGAAAAAAAAAAAAAAAAAAAAAAAGCTACAGATGGAGGGATAAAACCGCAATGAACACACAGGAAGGAGATATTATTTTTAGATAAATTTAAGATCAATGACCGTTGACATTAGAAATGAAGCAGTTAAAAAACTGCATTCTGCACATTCCCAGCACTTATCTGTCTTTGTCACTGTACAGCTAGGACAAATCTGAACTGCGTGAGCGCCACCTTTCTAACTTTATGCTACATTTCTGGCATCTCCCCATCCTACCTCCTGTCCCCCATTATAGCCTCTTAGTAGCCCCACAACATCAAGCCTCCTACAACCTATATAAGTCAAAATGCACCTTCACCCCGGAAAGTTCTGGATAACAATACTGTATACTACCATAATTTTGGAATCTTTGCTAATGTCCATTGTATTCATGTTTATATTTTCTGTCTATGCCTTATGTTTGTATTTTCTGTGACAGATTGTTCTGCAATTGAATCTATACAAATTGGTTTTTTTTATCTATTGAATTCTATATACCTTGTTCACAGAATAAACTAGAATCAAAAATTTGGAAGACAAAAAACTTAAATCATAAGTGTTCACTGAAACGCAATTACCTACTAGATATATTTCAATAATTTTGTATTATCATATTCAGCTAGAGGAAGGAGTACTGGGGGCTCAACCCATTTATGAAACTTTGGAGTTGCCTAAAAAGGCAGATTGAAGTATTAAAGATTCATTACAAAGAAAAACAACTGATCAGGCAAATTAGAAAGTTTGCCCTGACTGCCTATATTTTCTACAGCTGATGGGAAAATGCCTCACTACTACCGCCTGTATCTTTTCCTCTCCCCAGCAAGTAATGTCCTTTGTGGTCTCTGGCCTAAAGGTCAGTATCTTGTATCAAAATCCACCTTCTTTATTTTGGTGGTATTTGATCACCAATGGGGTTTTTATGTTTTGTGATAAAAATTTAAAAAAAAAAGACAGAAAATTAAAAAAAAAAAAAAACTATATTTTTTTACTTTTAGTTATATAAAATATGCAGTAGAGCAGGGATGTTCAGTTTCTATCGCCCGACGCCCAGGATGTGTAGTTCCAGGCCTCGGGCAGGTAGTTTTCTTCTACCTTTAGCCCTGCTGCAGGAAAGCAGCAGGCTCACCTGTCAGGTGGAATGCCGCCCGATTGCTTCCACACAGTGTCAACAGGATTTATCCCCTATGTGATAGAAAAAAAAGGTTACGTTTTTTTTTTTCCCTTAATTGTAAAAAATGAAAGTTACACCCAAGCACATACCATCCCCCTTCCCCCACGTAAAAGCACACGTGTTGGGGCGCCTACGCATGAAAACACCAATTGCGATACACATGTCACATATCGCTGCGTACGCCAGAATGAGAACAATAATTTTAACAACAGACCTCCTCCGTATGTTAAACTGATGACCTATAAAGGAGCTTTAAAAAAAAAAAAAAAAAAAAAAAAGTGTCAACCTATAAAAATATAGGGTAATGAAGTTTGTCGCCATTTCTTGAGAGTGCACACATTTAAGGTTTGACAAGTTAGATATCTATTTACTCGGTGCAACCTCATCTTTTATATTTTTTTAAAAATAGGATAATTTATTGCTTTTTTGTACCCTAAAATGAACTTGTTATTTTTACCGAAATTTTGCAGTAATATCATGCGACATAAAAAGTGAAACTACCACTACTTTATTCTCTTGGGTCTCTGCTTTCAGAAAATATATAATGTTAGGGGGTTTTATGTAATTTTCAGACCTAAAATGATATTTTAAACTTGTGCAAAAAAACAAAACACAACTCTGGCAGCAAAAGGGTAAAAGATGAGCCCTGACCCACCTTATCCTAAGGAGCAGCCAATCGGTGCTCATTACATTGTAAGGTCTCTCCTCTCCCTGCTTGTTCTCTGGGTGCGGTGCTGGAGAGAGGCAGGCGG